GCCACACGCATGGCTGTGTTGATGGGGACGGCTGCGCTGCGGCTGGCTGTGTATGTGGTGGGAGCGGAGGCGCTTGAGGGACCTGCAGAGGGTGGCACCTCGTGCGTGGCGTCGAGGCTGCTCGAGAAGTCGAGGGCGAGCACGCCATCGCAGGACAGAGGGAGGCCGGATGACGAGAGGGGCTGGGTGGGGGGCAGACGGCCCTCTTTGAGCTCCGCCCAGAAGAGGAAGATGTCCTTGGTGAGGTTGTCAGGACACACGACGCCCATCGCCAGCAGGCACCTGTGGCAGTGGATAGTCAGCGAGAGGCCCTTGACAGCTGATCCAGCATGCTGAAGGGGATCTCGTAGGGGTCGGGGATGCTGCGGGCGGTCTCGGCGATCGTGGCGATGTTGTAGATGTCGATGAAGTCCGCCACGTCGATGTAATGCCCGGGTGAGGAGATCGGCACCACCTCCTCGGCCACGTAGGGGCGCTTCTCCACCAGCCTCTTCCTCTCTCCGTCGACCTTCAGCGTCAGGTCGAGCTCTCTGGCGGGGTTGTTCTTGTTCGTCAATGCCTCGATAAAACGAACAAACGGCGCCCGCCCCTCCCGGCCTCCAGCGCACCAACTTGCCACCAAGGTCCTCCTGGTCGACAGCTTTGTTGAGCTTCCTCAGCCGGGCTTCCTCGATGACAGCCGCCACGAAACTCTCCTGCCTCGTCCGGTTGTTGGCCTCCCTCACTGCAGCAGTGTCACCGGCGGCATCGATATCTCCAGGGCACGGCCAGGTCTTGAAGGCGACTTCCTGCCCATCCCTGACGCCCTTGAACGCCCAAGCAAAGCTGCCCTTGCCCAGCACGCCGGTCAGCTGGTACTGCTGCCCGCCGCGCAGGTGGATGCTACCGTCGACAAAAGTCTTCCTGACCGGATATGCCGATAAATGGCTGGCGGCGGTCCGCCGGCGGATGGCTCTTGCACGTCCGTCATCGTCAAGCGGCTGTAATGACAGGTTGTTGAAAAAAAGGTTGCCCCCGTCTGTCCCCAATTCTCGAATTCTCGACAGCTCGCTCCCTTCTTTCTCCCAAACAAACGCCGAGCCGCCCAGACAGAGGCTGAGGCTGTATCACAGAGAAGTGAAGGCCAACCAACAATTGCCCTGTGCGAGGCCGCGATGATGTCACGAGCCCCGCCTTTCTACTTGTCGGGCGTCCCTCACACATCGTCTGCAGCCCACTCGAGCGCCTCAGCAGCACCGCGCAGCAGCGACAATGCTAGCAATTACCCCAGCTCGCTCGTCGGCAGCTGCTTCGTCTGCTGTGCATTCCGCGATAAGGATGACGGCACGCAGCAGGACCAGCAGGGCCATGTGTTGATGCACCAGCACACCGACCCGTTTGTGCGGTGGCGAGATAAGTGGAAGGGCGTGTTTGACCGGCTGCTGAAGCGGCCGGAGACTGGCGTGGAGGCGGAGGTGTTTCAGATACTGGCGGGCATTCTGGCGGGCGAGGCCGTGACGGAGCAGCTTTACAGTATCTACCAGAGGAAACGGAGCGTCGTGGCACTGTTCGTGCCTGAAATCGGTGCACACACCAAACAGAGAGGAGGGGAAACACCAGCACCCTACCCTTGGTCTTTTCCCTCTCTCTGTCTGCCCTCTGGGTTTGTGCGTGTGTTTCGTCCATCCATCCACAATGTATGTGTGCAGCCAACTATCTTCTGCACGGTGCGGAGCCCAATCGCTCCCACCTGGAGCAGGTCATACTGACCCTCTCCTCCCACGACCTGCAGCTGGCCCACCAGTTCTGGTGGTACCTCCAAGGCTCCATGATGCCCCCTGTGCTTGTGGAGGGCCAGCTGACTCAGCCCAAGCCACATGCAAGGGTGGAGCTGCTCAAGCGGGCCTTTGAGGAGGCGGGCAAGGAGGCCGTCAGCGGCGGCAAGCGGCCGGCAAAGAGGGAGATCACTGCGCAGGTGAGAGAGGGGGTGTGGGTGTGGGGTGCATGGGTCGCGAGCAGGTCTGTGTGTGTTGTGATTGTGTGTGGGGGTGGTAGGATGATTCCAGTGAGAAGGCGGATGATGGCGCGTCGATCGACAAGAGCCAGCTGATGCACCGCTTCAGGAAGGTAGGTATACACCACGCACACGTGTTTCTTCCGTGTGTCGTCCATCCATCCATTCATTTGGGCGTTATGTCATTCGCCATGCAGACGCCCGATTTCATCGACGGCCTCGCCAACATTTCTCGCAACCTGGTGGCCATCAAGAGAAGAGACCTCAGGAAAGAGGTGAGGGAGCAATGCCACTCACCGCATCGATGTCTGCAGCCACTGTGTGGTTGATTTGTGTGCCAACTGATAGGAGCTGCAGCGGCAGCTGGGCATTCTCAACGAGATGCTGCCGGCTGATGTGTACATACCCGTGCTCAACAGACAGAAAGGAGGTGCGTGTGCCAGCCCAGCCAGCCCCCTCCCACCCACCACCACCAGACACCAAAACCTCTCCTGTGTGCAATGCACTTGTTGCAGAGAGCGAGTCGTTTGTGGCCCACACGGTGCTGCATATTCCCGTCGAGGAGGCATTCTGTCTGCATTCGAAGGACAGGGCGCCCTTCCACGTGTGCGTCGAGGTGCTCGAGACCGACATGGACGACGACAATGAGTGGGACACGAGAGAGGTGTGCCCCCCAACACACGTGCATCCATCTGTGTGTGTGCGCGCCATCTTTCCCCTCCCATCTCTTTGCCATGTCAGGCCAACAAGACGGAGAGCGTGTTCGAGCTCATGAAGAAGTCCTTCACCCCCATGCACAACGCGTACAGCCGACGCGACTCCTACACACACACACACGACTGGCAACACAAGGCCCCCACCCACCACAACCACCCCCACGCCCACCCCTCCATGCGCCACTCGGCCCCCCTCCCGCCCCTCTCCCCGTCAGCCGACCACCAAGCAGCAGCAAGTGCCAGTGGCAACTCGGCACACGAGCACGAAGGAAGCGATGCCCACAGCTGCGCTTATCATGGTGCTGCTGGTGTGGATGAGAAGAGTGAAGGCAGGGCGGCGGCTGGTGAGCCGAAGGGGGGCGGGGGCGGGAGCGACGGCGCGGAGCTGTTCATCGACCCTGCTGTCGGCAGCCTGATCGTCTCACAGGTGCGTTGGCGCGCGCAAGGGATGCATGGACATCCACATGTTTGGATGCCTGTGCGTGTGCGTGTGTGTGTGTGCTGCAGATGCCGGAGGAGCAGAAGCAGCATGGCGAGCACTCCCCGTTTCCCCCCCCTGGCCGCGCCCGGATGCCCAGCACCCACAGCCACGTGTACTCCCACACCCAGCCCGCCACGCCATACGTCAACGACGACACCAACAGGCGAGAGAGAACCATCACTGAGGAGGAGACCAGAGGTATGTAGCCACACCCACACACACACAGATGAATCGATGGGGGGCATCTGCTTGTGTGCATGGCAGGTTGGAATCCGCCCATCGTCAGCCACAATGTGAGCATGGCAGCGTCGGCGGTGCGCTCGTCCGACCGGCTGGAGGGAGACGATGACGACGACAACTTCGAGCTCACACAGGAAGAGCTGCAGTTCTTCGTAAGCCACCGCCACATCTCTCTTCCTCTCACTCTCATTCTCTCACTCTCTCTCTCCCGGTGTGTGTGCAGGAGCGTGTCAAGCAGAAGGGCGGTGCGCGTGGCATCTTCGGCCAAGTGACGTGGGAGCAGGTGCAGGAGCGTGTGCGCAAGGCCTCCAAGTTCGGTGGCGAACGGGGATGGCGGCTCGTGTCGGTCATCGTCAAGACCAACTGCGAGCTGCGCCAGGAACAGCTGGCCGCACAGCTGCTCGGCTGGTTCCAGCGGGTAACTAACACGTGCGCAAGAGAGAGGCCGAGGGAGAGAGAGAAATGCGTGCTGCACGTGTGGCTTGGCTGCATGTCCTGCGTATCAGGTGTGGTCTCGCGCGAAGCTGAAGCTGTGGCTGAAGCCCTTCCACGTGCTGTCGACGTCGTACGATGCCGGTGGGTGGGCAGGAGGGCCGCGTGTGTGGTGAAGGCATATGTGTGTCTCTGTGTGTGTGTGGTTTGTCCATGCAGGTCTGATAGAGACGATCCCCGACGCGATATCGATCGACTCACTCAAGAAGACCTTCCCGGGCTTTGTGTCGATCAAGGACTACTTCGAGCGGGTCAGCCAGCAGGACCAGAGAAAGCACCCGCACAACGAACACACACACACGAAGCATTGGTCTGTGGTGCTGCTGTGTGTGTGGGTGTCATATGTGCAGACGTACCCCCACTCCCGTCTGCTGCAGAAGGCCAAGCTCAACTACGTCGCCTCAATGGCCGCCTACTCCATCGCTTGCTACATCCTGTCAATAAGGGACCGGTAGGCACACACATTCTCCCTCCCGCTCTCTCTCCCCCTCCACACTCGTACACAATTTTCAGGCACAATGGGAACATTTTGATCGACACCGAGGGCCACGTCATCCACGTCGACTTCGGCTTCATGCTGTCTAACGCCCCCGGGAACGTGCGGTTCGAGCCGCCCTTGTTCAAGCTCACCAACGAGCTGCTCGAGGTCATGGAGGGGCCGCGCTCGACGCTCTTCAGAAAGTTCCGCGCCAGAGTCGTCAAGGGCTTCTTGGCTGTGAGGAGGGAGATGGACAACCTCTTGGGGCTCATTGAAATGATGATGCTCGGTAGGCAATTGCGCACGCAAACAGAGACACGACACCGTTCGCTCGCTCATTCGTTTCTCTCTCTGTGCGTTAAGGTGAGGAGAACATAGCGTTGCCGTGTTTTGCGTCGGGTCACGATGCGGTCATCGGCGGCATCCGGGAGAAGATCCCCGAGATGATGCCCGAGCTGGACTTCAGGCAGCACATACACAACCTCATCGACGCATCCGTCGACAACTGGCGGTCACGATGGTCCGTACGGATGCCCTCACACACACACGGATGCCATCGCTGCTGCACGTGTGTGTTGTGTGGTGTCTTGTGTGTCAGGTACGACAAGTATCAGCGGTACTTCGTGGGCATCATGTGATGACTGGACCGCCTGGACCGATCGATCGCACCCATTGCCATCGTGCCCGGCAGTTTTTGATGCCTGCCTGCCTGCCTGCCTGTGTCGATTCGTTGCCCTCTGCCTGACAGTTTTGCCACGTTGCTGCGAGCATTCCGCTCGCCCCCTCGTTCATTTCCCACCACACGCTTGCGTCTGCCTGGTTGGTGCTGATTTGAGGCAGCAAGGAGGGAGATGCAGACGGATGGGGGCGAAGTGAATGAGGGCGCGACGAGGACAAATGGACAAGCTAACGTGAATGCTACTTCACGAGGTGAGGCTTTAGGGTTCGCGGGGTTCCAGGGTTTCAAAGTTTCCCATAAGTTTCCGGGTGCCATTTCGTTCGTTAACCTCTAAGACCTTGCCATGGCTGTCCTTTTCACTCTTCTCTTCACCTCGATTGCCGGCCTGAGCTCTCTCGGCAGCGGCGCGCCCAGTCCTCCTCTGTGCGGCGCTTGGTGCCGGACAGCACCTGACGATGAAGCATGTGAAGTCGACAAGAGGCTCACTTCCTGCACGGGAGAGTACTGCAACACCACATGCGGGCTCTGGTGAGAAACACGGGCTGACACAATGAGATCCATCGAATCGAATCAAGCGGTGTGTGTGTGTTGTGATCACTCTTGATGCAGGTCGATGAACATGCTGAGTGGCGAAAAGCCGCCCATCCCATGCGCTATATTTGAGATGAGCGCCGGCTACCCGATCGGGACAAAGCCATGCAGACCAGACTGCCTCGGGCCTGAGGTCTCGCCGGCGCGGTGGCCCCTGCCGCTGGGTCTGGGCTTGCTGTGCTGCAACGACGAGTGCATGCCGGCTGTACAGGTGAGCATCAGCAGGTCCCAAGTGTGTGGAGCATGATGACTTGACTCTCGCTCTGTTGCTGGTACTCTCTTGCAGCGGAGGCATGCATTTCACCCCGAGTACCAGTGTGGCGTAATGCAGGTGGGTCACAGGCAGGCAGGCAGGGAGGGAGGGAGGGAGGGAGGGAGGAAGCGCGTGTGTGGCCATTGATGGGCTGGCTTCTGTGTGTCTGTGTGGGATGCATTCAGTGTCCCTGCAACGTCTTCGGCAGCGACTGCCCTGATGATTGGAAGCGGGTAACCCGGCTGACCAAGACCCCTCTGGACCCCTCAACGGCCCAGCAGCTGTACCTGTACCTCTCTATCCCCGACTGGCATGCAGTCATGGCCTCATTCGAGCTGGGCGGCGCCACGCGCATCTTCGTCACACACGACATGGTCTCATCAGACATGCCCGAGGCCGACTACTCGATCGCGAGCGTCACCACGCCCGGCGTGATCGAGCTGCTCTCACAGACACCCCTGGCGTACCTCCACCCCAACGCAACGGCCACGGCTCGCGCCATCCGTGCAATGCCGAATGACGTCGACCGTCCTGGTCTGGTCGTCAACCCATCTGTGGGCGCCTTCATGAACAGCAAAGGCACGACGCTGATGGGCGCCCTCACCAGTGGCGACTCTTATGGCGATCGGCTTCTATTGGTCAGCACAGGAGTGGGTCTCGGGGCGATTCGCGCAACAGTTGAGACGCTGCTGAAGGAGAGGGGCATACTGTCACGGCTGAAGCAGGTCATCGTGTACACCGGCGACCGGTCAGTGACACACCTGCCGTACCGTGCTCACGTGGAGGGATGGCTGACCGAGGCCGACATCGAGACAGTGGTCGTCTTGAGCCGGCAGGATGACAGCTGCAGTGAGACCGATCCCCTCTGCGCAACGGCTCACGAGGCGTCCAAGCGACTGCCCCGACTGCTCGCGGCCAACCCCACCGTGCAACGATTCGTCAACGGCACGTCCACTGATGTCAACACACCGATGGCCGAGCAACAGATGCAAATGCGCAGCCTTAGTTGGCGAGGCGGCAAGATCTACGTGCAGCACGCCGTCGGTCTGGATATGGCCAAGGGGGGCAAGCTAGCGGCCGATGGGTGGACGTTCGGCAACACGATGGTGGTGTGTGTGGGGCGGTTCGAGATGGTCGACCAGCTGCCCGATGTGCTGCGGGCCGTCTGTCAAGATGAGGGCCAGGAATGCAGACGATTCATCGACGAGCGGCTGTTCCAGTAGACGGCCTTACGTGACGAATGAATGTGTGTTGGTGTACGTAATGGGGTGGGCGGTGTCGATAGTATGAATGTGCCATGCACAGCACACAGGGAGTATTGGTTGTTAGCTGCGTGTGCAGCCCAGCCCTTTCTCGGTGTGTCTATGAAGGAAGCTATTTTTCTGTCGGCCGGCAGTGTTGCTCAGTCTGTAGTGGCTCGGACTGACCGATCGATGAGTTTGCAAGGGCTGTTCAGCACTGGTCGATTTACCTTGGTTGCTCCCCGGTTCATGTTGTTGTCTTCACTGGCACTCAGTCGCTTGCTGCCTTCGACGCGCAGCAGTCGGGAAGAGTGCAGTGCACGAGGTGACGTTAGCCGGCGAGGGCCTACCCATGGAGGTCTACGTATGGTTTGTGCGGCATATCGAGGTTGAACAGAGACTTATTCGAAGTTGGAAACACATTGAGTCATAGCAACGGCAGGCAGAGTTTGTCGATCTCTCATGAAATGAACTGTGTCAATCGACCAACCCTCAATCACGCGAGCATCCGACGGACGGACAGGACAAAGGGGCATTGCACAGCCGAGACACGAAGAGAGACAAGACACGACCTAAGTACCCTCCTTTCAGATCAAGTCCTTTTTTCCTTCTTCAGAAGCAATTTTCTACAACCGTTTTCTTTCCACGGACGACCACGCGTCCACGTCTTTCCACCATCTCCTAAGTCATCACGGGCTGACTGCATCGAAGTAATCACCTGCGATGGACACATCATCGCCGTCACCGTTGACGGAGACCATGTCCTCTTCGTATCTCGTGTCCAAGTGCGGGCGCCGCTTCTCCTTCTTTATGGCCTTCAGGGATTTCTTCGACTGGCGCTTGTTTTTTCGTGACACACATCACACGGAGGAACAAGAGGTACACCTCATGCATGTCAGAACCAAACAGGCCGGCTTGCTTACTTTGATTTTCTGCTTGATGCGTTTGGCCCTTGCCTCCCGAAGTTGCTGCACGACATCGCGGAGGCCGTAGTTGACCCGGACATCAGCCTGTGCCGTTTTTTCCCTGACGAGACACACGCATACAAGCCACGAGACACGAGACACGACAGGGACACGTGCATGTTTTCTGCTGTCCATGACGATCTATCAGATGCCCTCTCTGCACAAGTCTGGCGTACATGCACAAGGGGCAGACGGCTACGCGACGACTGCTCCTGCGGAACTCAGTGCGAATCAGTCTTCGAACGCACTGATTGACAAGGAGGCATTCCATGTGTTCATCATTGACAGTGTGTGTGCACAGAATCACGGACCTTCGCGCAAAAGGAGTGACCTGACGGCAGATGGTTGGGTGGATGGATGACACACCGCACAAGACAACACACACGTCCCCCCAGAACCCCCCAGGGCCTCTCTCTCTCGCTCTTTCTCTCTCTGCGTGCGTGTGTGTGCGAATATTTGCTCACCGCATGGGAGAACTTGAGGCTGCTTGTCGACCTTTTCGTGGTGCCAGTCCTTGAAGCACACGCCGCACTGGGGAACTTCAATTCCCGCCATCAGATACGCGAGAGCTCCCTGGAAGTTATGCGCAAGTTGTCCGCCCTAGTCTCGACGCGAAATAAGCTGCCCTCACCTTGGGTTGATTGGACGCCGAGGTCCCCCGCGCTGGCAGCGTTGAGTTCGAGCCTGGGGGCGCATGGGGGCGGCCTGATACTGCATGCCATCAGTGCGCGTGCATTCCGTTGGTCAACAGACGAGCTAGGAGATGGAGGGAGGCCCCAACAGGAGAAGTGAACTCAGGCGACTGCGAAGCCCGGACGTAAGACCACGAGTACTGCAACCCACATGCGCAGATCTTGTCACTCACACACAGCATGAATCAATGGGAGGCAAGAGAGACGATGTATGACACTTTTTTCCGCCGAATGCTCCGCTACAGGCACCATCCGACTCGTCGGTTTTGTCTCTGATTGTCTCTTTGTATGTCCCCCTTTGTGCATTGCAGGAGGGTGCAGAGGCATCGCGGTTCCCCTCCCTGGTAGCCCCAGCTCGTGCGGCAGCCGATGAGTCCTCCCGCCCACCTGCTGGTGCCCCGGGCAAGCGGCCCGAGAACAGCATGTGGGAGCTTTTCGGCCGACCCACACTCGCTACACTGGAGCAACAAGCTTCACGAAAGAGGCCCGCCATCGAGGTACACACACACGGACTCATCTCATCGATTGCACATGCGTATGTCGGTCATGTGTTGTCCCGTTTAGTTTTCCCCTCCCGCCCCTCTGCCCGTCCCCGCTGCGCGAAAGATTGAGCCCCGGCCGTCCTCATCTCCATCAGAGCCGTCCGAGACACGGGAGCAGAGGCTGGGAGGGGCGTTGGAGCGGCGGCTTGTCAGAGTGGAAGAGGCGGCTGCCAACCTGTCGGTGAGTGGGTGCAAGCAGGGAAGAGATGGAGAATAAGATGGGCATGCCTTTTGTGTTGGTGTGTTGATGCAGAGCGATGTTGTGCAGTTGCATGTGCTGAGGAATCGTCTCGGGGAGGTGGAGGCGTCTGTACGTGAAGTGCGGGCCACTGTCGATAGGCGAATCGCAGGAATCGATGTGGAAACGGTGATGTCTCATCTCCTGCTGTTCTACATAGAATCGATCTCTCTCTTGCTGTTGTCAGAACTACAAGGCGTCGGGATTCATGCGCGAATATGACGAAAGGGAGAGGAGGGCCAAGGAGTGGGTCAGGAACGAGCTGCAGAGCTTGAATGAACAGGTGAAACAGACACCCATTCATCCCAACGAACACAGACACACACAGAGGGAGAGCTGTGTGTGCTCTGCAGATGGCGACCATCCGGTCGACGTCAGTGGACGCGGCACAGCGCAACCAAAACTCCATCGCTGGCCTCGCAAGGACCACACAGGCAATCCCAACACACAGAGACACGTGGCATGACAAATGTTCATCCCCTCATGCAGGCCATCGAGGCACGGCTAGACGGTGTCGACTCCTACCTGGGCCAGCTTCGGCATCGCATGGATTTTCTCTCGTCGAAGGCAGAGCAGGGGCGGCCGTCCGGCCACCCAGACACAGGCGGCATCCTGCCTCTGTCTGAGGGAGGCCCACTTCAGCAAATGACGGCGCAGCGTCTGGCCGACGAGCAGAAGAAAATCGACGACCTCGCCAAGTCATTCGCTGACCAGATAAGGGTCGGCCAGGGACACAAATGTTGCATTATCATGCGTCCTTTCTTCTTTGCGTGTATGCGCAGAGCGTACAGAATCGCATCGATGAGTTGGCTGGGAAGCAGGCAGAAGAGGCCAAAGAGCGACGGTCCATATCGGACAAGGCATTCAAACAGATCACTTCGCAGGTGGGGAATGAGTCAGCCATGCGCAACACACACACACACACACACACACACCTCTGTCCTTCAATGCAGGACGCTGCGCGAGCCAGTGACCTGCAAAAGCTCGAGACAGAGATCACAGGCGTCGGGTGAGCATCAGACAGAGAGACGCATCTGTACCCCATCTGTATGTATGGCTGCAGCAATCAGGTCGACATGGAGCGGGAGGACCGTCGCGGCGCCCTCTCTGAGCTCGAGCAGAGGATGCAGCAGTCTATGGCCATGCAGGAGGACCGCAGCAAGGCGCTGCACCGGGAAGCAGCCTCGCAGCAGAGCCAGATGATTGCCGAGTGGAAGGAGTCGGTCAAGAGCCTGCAGAAGCTCATCCACGCCACTCAGACAGAGGCACACGACAAAATTCACGTAGGCGGCAACACACCCTTTTCGGCTGCTACAATGGATCGATCGCATCTCTGTATATGCGTGTGTGGATGCAGGCTGTGATGAAGGACAATGAGGAGAAGGAGGCGGCCCTGCTGGCAAGGCAGCTGAAGGTCAATAATGACATCACCACCAGGCTGGCTCGCCTGGAAGCGGCTGTCGACACCGAAGCGCGGCATCGTGAAGAGGCCATGCGGAAAGCAAGAGAGAAGCACGATGAGGTGAGACATGACGGAGAGAGCAGATACATGCTATGAGTCCATATCTGCCTGTATGATGCGGTCTGTCCATGCAGTCTCGGAAGGCGATCGAGAAGATCCAACTGAGCCTGGTGCACGCCATCGAGGAGCTTCGGGGCGAGTGGCAAGACTTTCTCAAAAGCACATCCAAGGCCATCGCCACCGCATCACATACTGCGCAGCAATACACCGACACACGGGTGGGCGGTGGGCGGTTGGGTGGGTCTGTTCCACTGTGTTCCTTCTCGTCATGTGTCTGTCCATGCCTTGTCATCTTGGTGCAGTACCAGGATTGCACGCAGCGGCTGGAGGGCCTTGACTCTCTCGTCAAAGCGACGACGGCTGCACTGACGAGGACGGAGGCACAAGTGGCTGACCTCAACTCCAACTACATCACAGACCTGCAGGCCACGGAAAGTGAGACACGACGGCCGTGAGGCCACACTGCTGCACGGATCAATGCGTGCTGCAGCTCGGCTGAGGACTCGGATGTCCGACTCACAAGCGGCCGCATCAAGACAGATCACACAAGGTAGGGGAAGAGACAGAAGCGTCTGTGTCTCTCACGCAATGTGTTGATGCAGTCGAGTTTGAGCTGCGGTCGGTGGTGGACAAGCGATGTGCCGACACCGAAAGCATGGTGAGCAGGCAAGGCCTTACAGCACAAGAGAGCACAGCGGTCGTTGCGAATCCTTTGCAGCTGAAGGAGGAGGGCCAACGTACCAAAGAGAGATGCGACACACTCGCCAAGGGCGTGGACGGCACCATCGCACTCACCAGGGTAGGTGAGCATCATGTGCGCTACGACTTTCATCCGGTCTGTGCGTCTGTCCCAGAGCGCTTTGGAGAACCAAGTGCGCGAGCTTTCCGAGCGACAAGACGCCAAACTCACAAGCGTTGACTACAGACTGATGAAGGTCAGCTCCCCAGGACAGGTGAATGCATCCATGAACTGCTGTGGCGTATCGACACTTCAGGACATCCAAGAGCGTGCCTCGGCGCTCGACGATGCCCTGAAAGCGAAGGACCTCGAGCTGTCGGCTCGGATAGATGCTGTCCAGGAGACATTCCAAGAGGTAGGTAGCCACAGCTATTCACCGCTCCTGCAACCATGTGTGCTCGCAGGAGAAGGCGCGTGTGGACGCCCGCTTCAGCCTGGTCCATGAGCATGGCGCCCTGCAGGCTGAGACGATCGAGAGGTGGGGGAAACGAGAGACGTGTCTCAAACGATCGACAAGCATTGTGTGCCTTCTTCAGTGCGAGGAAGCATTTGATTGAGCAGATCCAGGACCTGGACGCAAAGACGGAAAGAGACATCACCATGTTGGATGGTCAGCCTGATTGACAGTCAGCTTGAGAGCTTTGCGACATCCACGTGTGTCTTTCAGAGAGGATGCAAGCCAAACTGACCGATGACATCGCCGCCCTCGACATTGCATTGAGGGTGAGGGCAAGAGAATCATGCACCGAGCGACAGCAGACACGCCCCCCTTCCGCCTCATGCAGGTCTTCGCCACCGACAATCTGAACCAAGAACGCTCCGAGCGGCTTACAATGGACACCGAGCGATCACGCGTCTTCCAGGAGCGGCTCGAGAACCACGAGGAGCTCACGCGCAACCGCATCAGCATGGCCATGGAAGACGTGAGCAACCACCTGAAGGCGAGCAGAGACGCCGCACTGTTGCGGTCGGTCGCGCACGAGCACGACGTTGATATGAGGCTGAAAGAGGCCGAGGAAAAGCGAGTGGCCTATGAAGCGTCGATGGACGCTCGCTTCGACACTTTGCACGACGAAACGCTGGATATCCACCAGACGCAGGAACAGGCCATGAACATGATGGCTGAAGACTGCCGAGGCATGTTGGAACGACAGCAAGAGAGGGTCATGCAAAGCGAGGCAGCTATCAAGGCTGACATGAGAAGGGAGACTAACAAGCTCTGCAGCGACATGGCCAGCATTGTGCTGCAGACCGGGCAGCTCCGACACGAGTTGACGAAGGAGATTGCTGCGCTTGACGGGGGGACAAATGAGCGCTTCGACACATTGCAGAACGACATGCAAGCCGCACACGAGACGCAGGAACGGGCCATGAACATGATGGCCGAAGATTGCCGAGGGATGCTGGAACGACAGCAGGAGAGGACACTGGAAAGCGAGCTGGCCATCAAAGCTGAGTTGGAGAGAGAGACAAAGAAGCTCCGCAGCGACATGGACCAGTCTGCAGAGGCTCTGATGGCCAGCATTATGCTGCAGACCAGCACCTTGCGAGACGAGCTGACCGAAGAGATAACTGCGCTCGACGGCCGCACCAACGAGCGCTTTGACACTTTGCAGAACGACCTACAAGCGGCACACGAGATGCAAGAGCACGTCATGAATATGATGGCCGAAGACTGTCGGGGGATGCTCGAAAGACAGCAGGAGAGGACCATGCAGAGCGAGACGGCCATCAGAGCTGAGTTGGAGAGAGAGACGGAGAAGCTCCAAAGTGATATGAATCAGTCTGCAGAGGCTCTGACGGCCAGCATCATGCTGCAGGCCAGCACCTTGCGAGACGAGCTGACAGAGGAGATCACCGCCCTTGACGGCCGGACGAGCTTGCGTCTTGAGGAATTGCAGAAGCAGCATGAAGACGAGACGGGGGCAATCAGGGCCCAGCTGGAAGAAGATACAAGCGCACTGTGAGCTGACAAGAACGAGTGTATGTGTGTGAGTGTCTCACCGCATCCATGTATTGGCAGTCGTCTTGAGTACCAGAATGAGATTCAAACCCTCCAGGACGACATGTCGGAGCAGATGGAGCACCTGTACACGCAGACGACAATGAGGTGCGACGACATCGAGCTCAAGTGGGACGAGCTGGAAAGACGCGTCAAGGCACAGATGGACGAGGCTGCTGACCAACAGGTGAGCCTGCAGCAAAGGTTTTCATTGTTTGCATGGCTGCTGTGGCCGTGTGCAGAGAGCGATCGATGGGAGGCTGGCCGAGACAGAGGTAGCCTTATGTCTGCAAGACATGGTGACAAAGGTCGGTGTGTCCCTGTGCACATGTGAGAGGCGAAAACACCGGTTGCTGTCTCTCTCTGCCCCTGTCTCCTCCCTGTCTCCCTCTCTCCCCTCAGGTGGCCCTAAACTCAATCGAAGCCGCCAATGCAGAGAGCAAGCAGGAGCTCACGCGCGTCGCTGAGGGCCTGACGTGAGCAAGAGGGCAAGGACGATCCCTGACTCGCAATATGCATACCTACACCCACCACTTTGTCCTTTGTGTTTGCAGCAAGACCAACGCCGCGATAGAGATGAGGATGAATGGTGTGACTGCACGGCTACTCATGGCCTCACAGGCACTGGAAGTCGTGAGAAGCGACATCAAAAAAGGTAGCGAGGCTGCAGCGGCCTTGAAGGGCGACGTCGACAAGACGAAAGAAGAGGTGACCCGACCCGATACACACACACTATCCACTGTGACGTGTCCGCTGCTGTCCTGTATGTGGTTCAGTGGCAGCAGGAGACCGAGTCGATTCGCCGCCATCAGGACGAGTTTGAGAAGACAGCCACCGTCACGATGGACGGCCTCGGCGCTGAAATGCTTCTCGTCAACACCAACGTCCAGAAGGCCCAAAAGGACGTATGTGTACACGGCACCGCCATACCAACCACGCCACTTCCCCTCCGCTCTCTTGCCCGTCCATCAGGTGGAGGCCATCCGCGCAGAGGTCAAGAAGCTCGACGATCTGCGGCCGAAGGTCTCCTTGCTCGAGGACGAGGTGGGTACTGTATATAACAGGGCATATAACAGGCAGAAGAGTCCATCTGTTCTGTATGTGTACAGGTGGACGAGCAGCTCACACCTCGGCTGACGAAGCTGACGGCGGCTGACGAGGTCAAAACCGTGCAAGAAAGAAATGTGAGGGCACGGAAAGGATGTGTGTATGGATGCAGGAGGTGCGGAGACAGCTGCAGGACACGGCGACCGCCTTGGTGGCCCGGATGGAGTCGCACTGGTATCTCAAGAGCATGATGGACACGGTAGCCGACACAAAGACCAAGGAGTTTTTCAAATATATCGAGACACGCCTGGCCCAGCTGGAACGTTAACGACCGATCGACACATGTCAGGAAGTCAGGGACAGAGGTGTAAGTGTTGGAAACGTTTTCTCAACGCGACGACTGTATAGGATTGCATGTGTACGTGATGTGTGTGTCTGGTACGTACTGAAGGCATGCATGTCTTACCGTATCCACTCACTCACAAATGCACAGGCAGACATACCGACCGACGGGCGTCCAAAAAGGGCGAGACCCGATCGCCAAGATGTGTAGGTGTGGCTACCAGAACTGCACCAACGCGTGGTCAACGTTGCGGACAAGCATCTGGGCCCAGAGCTTGCTCGTCGCGTTGCCCGCGACATGGCCATTCTGACAGCCACACCGATACACACACAAAACTCAAAGAAAGCCACAGCACCAGCCACCAGACAAGAATGCACACCCCTCCTATACACGATCCACAGGCTAGGCCGTCCTATACACTCACACAACCATGCACTCATCAGACCACAATAGCGGACTTGCCATAGGTTTGAGGGCCGAATGGGTGCATCCGCGCCGTGTCGGCCTCGGGGTCGCCCACAACGATGTCCTCCTCCGTCTCCTCGACTGCATCGGAGCCCTTGGGGAGGATGAAAAGCTTGTGGATAAGGCAGATGACCAAAGGCACCAGAGAGAAGAGGGACACGATCGTTGCGGCCATACGAGGGGCTGGAATCGACGCCACCACGACCTACACGCATGCACCACACACAGCACATGCATCGTGATAATATGGGTGTGAGGGGAGCGGGTGGGCTTACATTGACGATCAGCATTGCCACCAAGACGACGGAAGCGGAGCGCATTCGCGCCCAGGGCAGATAGACGAGAGAAATGCACACAACGGAACTCACACACCGCACAGTCGCCCTGCGTCAGGACAAACAAGGTGAGTACACACACACACACACACACACACGTATCCACAGAGACCTCTGTGTGTATTGCGTGAATGGGTGGGACCTCCTTCTCACCTCAGCGCAGCAGGCACCAGATCTCCCCTGGCCCGGCTCACAGCGAAGGTCGGAAACCCCAGCGCCCAAAGAAGAGACCCGTTCAGACCGACGAGCACCACAAACTCTATGGTTCTGCCGCGGACGTGCCTCGGCACACTCGACCGCTCTTTGACGGCGAACTCACACCACGCAGCCAAGACCGCCATGCCCAACGCGGCGATCGGGTAGAAGCCAAAGTCATCAAGATACGTCAACGAAGGCACCTGAACGACGCGGAGGCACACACATGCACCTGCTTCCCTCTGTCTGTGCCCGTGTGTGCGCGTGAGGACTCACGTCCATCTCTCCATGCAGCTGCAGCTTCTTCTCGGGGTACCGCAGCAGATACAGAACGGCAAGCGCCTGGCCCGCGTTGAGAAACGACGTCATGCCCAGCACCGCCGGACCGATTTGGCTGCACTGCACGTCGAGGAATGCCGCTGCGATGCAGCAGAGGCCCGTGACACAGAGGAAAGCCGTGTGGATGGCCTGCCACGGCATCGGCTCGAGGATGGCATTGATGGCGCCGCCGGTGAGCAGCAGTAGGCCGAAGATGACGGCCGTGATGGTGAAGACGATGTCGTTGGTGGTGGAGAGGTAGATCTCACGCTGCGCCATGAGATGGCGCTGGCATGTGGGTTCGCGCCCTCTGTACGCTGCGGGTCGTTACGTTGCGGCCGGGTTTGCGAACAATGCAGTCGCGTTGAAAGGGGGACTCCAACGAAAGCTCACGATCAGCTCAAGCAGCAGTGGTTTCAGGCAGCACCCTAGCTCAACCAATGCGAGCTTGAGTCCGGAGAAACTTGGCTGTGCCTTGGCTGTGGCGCGATTGCTCCCGCTTTCCATTCGCCGGCGCACCCATCGCATTAACCAATCCTTGAACCAATCCATTCACTCATCCCTGGCCATGTCCGCATCTGCGGCATCAGCAGCGGGGGATGAGCTGAAGAGGGGGCTGACGGGCAGCCTGTTCCGGCAGCTGGCGACCATGGAGGGCAACAGCGCCTCGCTCGGCGGCGCCACCACAATATTTGAGGAGGCGCAGGTGAGCGAGGCCGACCTGCTGGCGGCCAGGCGGATATTCTTGGAGTTTGCTACCTTTGAAGAGGACGGTCATGAGACTGGAGTGGATGGCGGCAAGAGGGAGAGGGAGAGGGGGGAGAAGATTCTCACGCTGGCCAACTTTGTCAAGATGGCCATCAAGTAGAAGAGGGCGAGCCCACCACATGGATGGATGGATGTTCCACCTTCTCTCTGTATGTGAATGTATGTGTGTGTGTGGGTGCAGGTACCGTCTTTGTAGCTTGGCGGAGTGCGAGGCGTTCCACTACTGCATGGGGCGGGAGACCGGCGGGCGTGTGGGGTGGGAGGCGTTCAGCCGGACGTGCGTGCTGGCCGACCCCCACACGTGCCACGTCCTCAACTCGGTCACCGGCAGACAGCGGTGCAGGGACATCTTCCACTTCTATGACGTCAACAGAAGGTCATTAACCTCACCACACCACACAGAACACACTCTTTTTCTCTCTCCCATTTCTCATCCAGCGGTGCATTGGAGTTCCACGAGTGGTGCCGCATCGTCGCGGACGCCCTCCAAGTGCGCGACAACAAACCCCACCTACCGATTGGCGACGGCGAGGAGGCTTCATCCTCGGCAGGTGTAGATGTAGATGTGGACGTAGCTGACCTGATGGAGGCCACGCGCGAGGCCAGGGAGGCGAGCGTGCAGCTGGGGCTGGAGTACGCGCGGAAAATCAACATCAAGGCCTTCCGCAACCAAGACGATCCACACGTGAGAAAGGGGAAAGGGATGTATCATGGCACATCTCTCTCTCTCTCTCTCTCTGTGTGTGTGTGCGTGTGTGTGTGTGTGTGTGGATCAGGGTCTCCCCCCTCCATCCGCGGCGATGGATTTCGACCAGTTCAACAGCATCGTCCGCAAGGAGCAGCTCCGCGGCAGCGCCAAGCTATTCCGCTTCTACTCGTCCATCATGCACACAAACACCGCCACCGATGGCAACAGCGGCACCATTGACACCGGCCCCCCACCCAAACCCAGCACCACCACCCCTCCCAGGCTCACCTCGACCTTGTCGTTCGAGTCGTTGCGTCAGATCCCGTCGAACCCCTCCAGTAGCAGCCACTCGGCCCTCACCACACACAGACGGGACGACCCTCCCCCTCTGCCCATCGACACACAACATGAGACTGAGGCCGTCGAAGGGACGGCGGGCGATGGGAGGCAAGTGCGTGTGTTGTTCCCTCTGGCTGAGCTGGTGCGTCATGAGGCTCTTGGGGCTGAGGAGGGGGGCGTGATTGAGCTGGCGAGTATTGGTGAGGGTGAGGGAGAGGTGAATGAGAGCGGGCTGAGGGAGCTGCCACTGGGGCTCACAGATGAGGAGGAGACGGCCATCCTGCGGATCAGAGAGCTCATGGGCGGAGGTACGCCGGGCAGGCCAACCAGCACAGCCCACACGATACCCCAACACACACCTCACAGAAACCATCCTTTGTGTGTGCGTGTGTATGGTCAGATTCTCCGGCCTTCCGTCATCTGCTGGGTCTCCCTCCGCCCTCTGGCGACCCCCTCACCGCCCCCATGCAGCTCATCCACACTACTGCAGACGGCGACTCCACCCCGCTGCCCTTCTACATCCACCCCCCAGCCCACCTCCTCTCACACGCACCCCTCTCTCGCCAATTCCCGCAATGCCGGAGACCGAAATCGCCCGACCACGGCAGGCAGAGACAGCCCGTGGACGCGTTCCTGTCGCTCTTTCCCTTCGCCGGCTTGCCTGCGCCGGATGTCATCCACGAGGCCCACAAGTGAGGCTGACTGTGGACCGATGCATTCATCGTCACAGTGCATATGGCGGCTTGTGTGTGTTGTGTGTGTGCAGGGTGGCCCGTCGTGTGCTGTCGGATGTCTTCACGGACACGACTGTCTTCATCGGTCGGCTGGAGAAAGCGGCCTGGGGCGGCGGCGGCGGCGGCGGTGGTGAGGGGAAGGGCGGGAAGCGTTCCGGTGTGTCGGTGTGTTGCTCGATGTTTCTGTGCACCCCTGCGGAGCTGGTGGGCGTGTTGGGTGCGGCGTGCAAGCTGATGGAGGGGGAGGAGGTGGTCAAGAGGGTGAGTGTGGGGGCCAAGGCCAGTAGCAAAGCTGTCAAGGTCATCGGCAGCATCTATGGACAGGTAAGCGCCGCGCCTTGGCCCCCATAGAGTCATCATGCTCTTGTCATCTTTGCCCTTGCTCATTAGGTAGCGGACCTTCTCTCGATGCTCGGCCCACCTGCCCTGCTGCCCACACCAGCAACACTCACACCCACCATCACCAACACCAACACCAGCAGCAACAGCAGCAGCAAGCCGCCACCGTCCCCCTCTCTGCTGCGAGATCTGGAGCAGGGCACGTGCAGCCTGGTGTTCCTGGGAGACTATGCCGGCCGGGGCGGGTGGGGGCTGGAGTGTTTGGCCATCGTGGCCGCACTCAAGGTGCGGTTCCCACATTCGGTCGTCCTGCTGCGGGGCTCCTATGACAACCGGGTGAGTGAGCGTGGGGGCTTTGCGTGGCGCATGAGCGGCGGCATTCTCATGTGTGTGGGGGGGCGTGTGTGTGTGTGTTTGCAGGCTGCCATGCATCTCGTGGCGTTTCAGGACGAGTGTTCGCGTCGGTTCCCCTCGACAACGTTCCCGAGCTACCTGACCGTGAGCGACACGAGCCACCACAAAATCGCACCCACAGACAGGAGCGTCCCCGACATGACCTTTGAGCTCTTCGACCGGTCAGCAGAGCGGCCCCCTTTCCCCTCACCCCCATCTGTATGTCTCTCTCTCTCTCTCTCTGTCCCTCTGCGTGTGTGTGGATGGCCAGGCTCTCCCTTGCAGCCGTGATTGACGGCCAGATCCTGCTCGGCAGCTTCGTTTCTCGGCTCCCCTCCCTCTATCACCAGCAGCAGCAGCACCAGCAGCAGCAGACATCGCTCCTGTCCTACCTGGCGACACACAAGAAGCCCCTGCGTCTGATAGTGGGAACGGGAGCCGGGGTGGGGGCAGGTGGGCCGCCCTCATTATTCGTGTCTCTGGAAGCGCTGTTCCTGCCCCAATGCAACAACATGACGGAGGGCGTGGCGGCATCGCTCGCAGTGGGGAGGCCCCCGGTGCTCACGCAGACACAGATGCAGGACAACGAAGTGAGATAACTGCGCACTAGGAAGGACGAGGCGACATGCATGTGTGTGTGTGTGTGTGTCTGTGTGTGTGTCAGAGTGTGTTTGAGGCGTTCATGGCTCGTGAGAAGGTTAGCATGATGATGGGCAGCGGGGTGGTGTCTCGGCGGGGGTGTGTGGTGGCGAGTGGGGGGCGGGTGCTCCTGCTGTGCTCGACGGTCAACTTCTGCGACTGTGTGGCAAACGATGGGGCGTTCCTCACCATTACCCGGTCGGTCAGCTACCCACGAATGTGCCCCTCTCTCCATCCGTCCACTTCTCTCTGTATCTCTCGCTCTGTCAGCGATGGCAGCGATATCATCATCCGCCCGCGCTCATTCACAGCCCTCCCTCTGCCGACATCGTCGCAGCAACACTCCCTCCCCCCCTGTCGGCCACCCACACCGCCAACGGCCCCCACCTCCATGAAGCGCACACACACACGCAAGACCGCGAGAGACAAAGACAGGATGGCCACGACCAAGAGCTACCGAGACCTCCGCACTGGTGCCACCACCACCACCACCACCACGAGCGTCACAGGTGCCACCAGCAGCATCAACAGCAGACCGCCCCTCCCACCGCTGCCCCCAACGCAGATATCGCGGCGACTGAGATGGCCCGCACAGATCCGAGACGTCGACGCGTACCAGATCTACGCCCACGCACATGAGCACGACGATGAGAATGACGAGATGGAGGGGAGGGAGGGTCTGGCTGCGTATGGCGTGATGCCGCCGATCTGCGCCGCGATGCGGTATGATGTGGCGGGGAGGGAGGGGGCGATCCGGGTGGTGCTGGGGCTGCCACGGGCGGCGCTGGACGAGGTCAAGCCGTCGGTGCACCACCCCACACACAATAAGACGTACGTGAGAGAAAATGAGAGACTAACACACATGGATGGCTTGACGGATGGATGGATGGATGACCTCTTCTGTCAGCAACGAGGCGGCCTTCGGCGAGCTGGCAATGTACCTCCCCTTCCCGGCCTACCACCTCACCCCTCCCGGCATCTCCACCCTTCCCCAGCCGCACCATCCCCCTCTCCCACCGCTGTCCATCTCCGTCTCGCCGCCCCTTCCCCCATCCACCCCCACCAAGGACACCTCAACAGGGGCCTCCGTCACGCGCCGGAGCAGCAAGTCGAGCAAATCGACACAGAAGGGAAGCGCGCACAAGGGCAGCAAGAGGGAGAGCTTGGGCACCAAGCACCACCAGCAGCACCAGCAGCCCGGCACGGCCAGGAGGGTCCCCCGGGTAGCAGATAGGGGCCGGGGGAGGGAGGCCGTCTGTGAGGATAACAGCAGGCCGGCAGAGGTGCATTTCTCGCCACCTCCCCCTCAGCTTAGGCCGAGGAGAGGTTTGTCTGTCGGCCCCACCGGCAGCACCGGCATGAACGTCATCCGCAAGGCAACGGCGGCTGCTGACGGTCAGTCCATCCATCCCCCACCCCCCCTCTCTGTGTGTGTGTCTGTATGGCTGTCTGTCTCCTTTTCAGCATTGGCCGCAGCAGCAGCAGGGGCACAGTCGACAAGGCGCCCTGTCCACGAGAGAGGAGGAGACAAGGGAGAGAAGCCCCGGGCCGTCAAGCAGCCAGAGCCGGGTGTAGCCAGTAGTGCAGCAGCAGCCAACGCAGCAGCAGGGGACAGCACTGAGGACAGTCAGGACGTGGTGATGCGGTTCACGATGGGGGCGGGACCCACGGATGTCTTCAGAAATACACAGGCGGCTTGGTGTGCTGAACCCCATACCCGACACACACATTGCTACATGCACACATGGCCCACTGCCTCTCTCTCTGTCTCTCCGTCTCTGCGTGTGTGTGTGTGGTTGTTGGTAGGGATGAGAGCGGCCTGTCCCTCGAGCAGTGGCATGACGCGCGCGCCGTTCACTACGAGCTCATGTCGCACCAGAAGCGACACGACCCCCACGCCGCCCACACGATCCACGCGCCACCCGTCAGCATGACCATGACGCCCAACAGACCGCACCAACTCCGGCCGCCGACAGTCAGTCAACACACATATACACGCCTTCCCGCCTCCCCCCTTCCCGTCCCCGTCAACACACTCTCTGTGTGTGCCTGTGTGTGCAGGGCATGCTGTCCTTGCGTGGTGGGGATGGTGAGAGTGGCGAGAGAGACCACCACCATCAGCAGGGGCAGCAGCAGCAGCAGCCGCCTGTAGAGGTCGAGGGGTGGAGCAGGGCGACTTTCGCGCAGTGGGCCGCGTCGGTGGGCATCCCCCGAGCAGAGCTGGACAAGTGGTTCAGGATCTTTGACAAAGACGAAGGTCCGCCGGTGCCCCACCGCTCACACACACACACACACACACATACACACACACACACAGATGGATGGATGGATGGATGTGTGTGTGTATGTGTGTATCAGATGGGCGAGTTGGCGAGGGAGACTTCCTGCAGGGGCTCTCGGTCACCTGGGGGCAGCGCCATGACGGCATGATAGCGAGTAACTGTGTCAAGACATCCAGAGTGCCCCTGATGCGTGTCTGGCTGCAGGCATGTTTCGGAAGCTGGCACTCTATCGGTCCATCGGGGGGGCGGCGCCCCACGGAACAACTGGTACATATGTACTAATGGGGGTCATCCGTCTGCTGTGTCTTGTGCGTGTGTACGTTGTGCGTGTGTGGGTGCGTGTGTGTGTGTGTGCAGTGAAGGCTGTCGAGGTGGCCCGGCTGGCAGAGGACGCTCTCCGGCTCTATCACATGACCACCGGGGTACGCATTCAGGATGCTGGGCATCACACACAGACAGCTGGTCTCGTGTCTCCTCTCTCTCAGCACCAGCTGCCAAGAACAGTGGGCTACGAGCGCGTCCTCAACGAGCTTCTCGCCACCCCGACACATCGGCCTCCCCCCTTCTCGCACACACATACCCACACACAGCCGTCCCGCATGATCACATACGGCGAGTTCCGCCATGCCCTCGACGAGCTCACGCAAGAGCACGTGCCCTTCGACGTGCTCTTCAGGCTGCCACACCACATCCACATCCGCGGCAGGCATGTGCCCTCGCCACCTGGGCTCATCTGCGTGCCGCCCCCGCCCCCACCGGCGAATCTGCCCCTCTCGGTGGTTTTTGGCGTGGGAGGGGGGAGGGGCGTGGGAGGGGGAGGGGGAGGGGGAAATGGCGTTGGGGGTGGTGGGGTGAATGTGTTTCAGATAAGCGCGGCGGGGCGGATGATGTTCAAGGGGGGGCCGTAGAGCGAGATGGACGACTGAGTGGGTGTGGGTGTGGGTGTGCGTAGGTGGCTGCAAGATCTCATCAAAATCTCATTATATATCCAACAGAGAGCGTCATACACGCATCCACCGCCCGAACGAACGAACGAGTGGTTCATCCATTGTACACAGCGTCGACTGGCACACATTGGCCGCCTGCACGAACAGAAGGAAGCGAATGTGGGTCAACACATTCACCCTCATCTGTTCGGGAGGCCAAGTCACGTGAAGCCGTCGAAGCGAGCGGAACACAGCGACACAGGTGGCCGCGCAGAAAGGAACATTGGCCAAAACAGTCGACCATCATCAAGGGGCATCCTTCACACCAGCATTAATCCACACATGTGCACCTCTCTGTCTGTCTGCCTGTCTGTCTGTCTGTTATCCACACACCCAGTCACCCACACACATACACAAACGAAGCCATCCCATCATCACTGCCGCCTCCTCAGCGCCCCCAGCAGCCCCTGCACCTCTCTCCCAAACTCACCCTCACCCACACTCGGGTACAGCCCACCGCCCGCATTCTCTGGCTGGTCCCCCCCTCCCAGCAGCTGTCTTGACACATTGCGCACGGCAGACGCCACCACGTCGGGCAGGCCGCCAGGGGGCCCGAGCATCGGGGTGCGGAAGACGGCTCTGGCGCGCCGGGCGCAGTCCATGGTGTACTTGCCGTCCAGCACACCGCCGAGCAGAGAGCCGAACGCTGGGATGCTGCGGAAGAGGCGGGTGCCACCGGCCTGGTATGCAGATCCATGGATGGATGGATGGAAAGGTGTGGGTGGGTGGGGGGTGGTGTCAGTCAGATACCTTGGCGATAAGGTGGTATACGACGTTCTCCAGTAGGTGTGCCCATTCCCATGGAGGCACCTGAGAGCTGCATCACAGCACATGACATCACATGGGAGAGAATGACTGATAAGGGATGCATGTGGTGATGTGTGTGGTCACAAGCTCAGCTCACCCTCCGTAGACTCCGATCTTCCTCAGGGTGGCGACACAGCCCTCGTCACCCAGCAAACACGCAATGATCTGCATACACACACGGGACAGAGACACAAATACACACACAAACACTGACGTGCCGGTCTCCCTCCCTCCCTCCCTCCCTCTGTCGTACACACACACCTTGAGTTGCGTCTCGGGCATTTGCACGTCATGACCCTCCATCTCAGCTATGATCTGACACACACAGGCAGGCAGGCAGTGTGGTCTCTCCTCGACTTCGTGTCGCTCTCCCTCCCCCCTCCCACTCACCCCTGTCAGCCTGCAGCTGAAGAACAGCGTCGACACCATCCCGATCGGCAGCAGCACCAGAGACGTCGTCCAGTGCAACGGCGTGCCCGTGAAAAAACCTGCAAACACCAACCACACACACACACTCACACCCATCGCACACACATCCAGAACACAGTCACATTCCTGCGACAAACAGACGGACCTGAGAGGAACGCCCCGGATGCCTGGTGGTTGACGAGGTACTCGAGCGCATGGTTTGTGTCCCGGAACTCCTGGTCGTCCACCTGCTTCTTGAGCCGGTCGGCGCACTGCTTAACGGGGTGGAAGGATATCAGCCAGCTCATCTCGTCGGCCTGGTCCTGGCTGACGGCCAGGGGCAGCCACCCGAGAGGGATGTGGATGTCCACTCCCGTGAGCGACCACTTCATGAGCTGCTGCACCGCTGTCTTGAGGTCCATTGTGGTCAGGCAGCGGGCGATCGTCGCACTCACTGGGCGGCTGGAAGGCTGACAACGACGAGAAATGGCCAGGACACATTGCAGTGGATGGCTGGACAGACGGCTGGGTGCTTACGCGTGTGTTGAGGTTGTAGTTTCTGATGAGGTTGTCGAGGCTGTCTATGCGTATGGTCCGCCGGCAGGCTGGGCACTCAACTCTGCCGTGCTTGTGAAGCTTCCTCAGGCACCGACGGCTGCACAACATGCAGACACACAGACACAGACAGAGTGAACACACGACAGGCTACTAGTTTCATTCCTTTCTCACTGCTCTGCTCCACTTACCAGTAGCTGTGGCCGCAGGGGAGAATCAGCGGTGTCCTGTCAGGCTCTCGAAATACCTCGTAACACACGGGGCACTCCATCTCGTACACTCATCACATTCAGATGTCTCCCTTTTTTCCTTCGGGTTTCCGAAGAAGGGCCTGAGAAACCCGCGACCCCACGAAGCTCGCAATCTGGAACCCTACACCCGAGACCCAGTTGTTCCCAAAAGCGAAGAAGACAGGAAGAGAGAATAGCTAAGGAGCAAGCGAGGATGGTTGAAGTATCGCTTTCCCGCTTCAAGCCGTCACAGGGCGTGGTAAGCAACCACACGCTGTTCCTAACACCGCGCACACACTCAAGGCTTGATCTCATCTGCATCTGCTCCTCTCTGTCTTTCCTCTTTGCAGTGATTCTTTCTTGTGGCTGTAGCCGTGCAGGGCACGACAATGCGGACCGACGCCATGGGTACGGAGTCGGTGGACCACGATGTGCTGCGGCAGATGATCCGGGGCGACGTGATGGAGGGCGCTGTGCGTGTTGTGAGGGTCACCGGTGCTGGCGAGGATGAAATCACGTACGTGAGCCACTGTGGGTGTGCACGCGGAAGAGAGTTCCTTCCTCCTTCCTGTGTAAGTGCTCTGTGGGTCCTTCTCTCTGTCAGTGTCATTGCCAACGATGACGAGTCGAGCCGCAAGGTGGTGCTTGATGCCAGGGGGGTGCAGGGCGGCCAGGGGGTCGGCAGATGGGATGTGGTGCGCATCAGCCAAGTGACACTGCGGAACCGACCGGAACACGGGTGTGTGTGACTGACGTGAGAGGGAGGATGGGAGGGAGGGAGGGAGGGAGGGAGGGAGGGAAGACCTACACAAAGCGGCAATTGTGTGGATTCTCCTGTGTGTGTGTCTGCAGAGGTGTCCACCTGTTCGCCCGTGCGTGTGAGCGGCTCTCGTCAGGGCAGCCCCAGCCGGCCTCCATGGCGGCCAGCCCTTCCCCTCCCCCCACCCCCGCCCCACGACGCACTCTCGCACACACGCCGCAGCTGAGGACACCACCCGCTGCAGCAGCATCAGCATCAGCATCAGCATCAGCATCACGGCCGGCACGGATGACGGGCGGCGGTGGCCTGCTGCAGCGCATTATCAGGGGGGAGCTAACGGAGGGCACTGTGCGTGTGGTCAACACGCAGCCGAGCCAGGAACAGAACGAGATCGTGTAAGCGCGCTGAGGGGTCGGCCTTGGCGCGAGTGGACGTCTGTGTGGGGGCTTGTTTCACGCAGGTTGATAGTGAATGATGGCGATTCGTCTCGTAAGGTCGTTCTCGACGCGAGTGGCTTGGACGATGGGGGCCGGGTCATTGCGAGAGGTGACCACCTGCACATCAGCCAGGTCTGCCTGCGCGAAGACGCGGCACACGGGTACCCAAGAAGACACACATCCACATTACACTCAGGTGGCGGACCACTCACCACTTGTGTGTGTGGGCGTGTCTACTCAGGAAACACCTATTCGCCGCCGTCTCGAGACGACAGGCGCCCCCAACAGGGCCCTCCATCCCCGCACCGTCCCAGCCATCAGCACGACCACGACCAGCCCGGATGACCATGGGCGCGTCACCTGCAGCTCCGGCTACCCCGGGTCCCTCCCAGCCATCAGCACCAGCGCGAGCGGGGCGGATGAGCGTTAGTCCTCCGCGATTATCTTTGACGCCTGGAGCGGCATCATCTCAAGAGGACCCCGCCGCCGGCTGCTGATGGCCCGGTGAGGATTGCCGATCTGAGGGCGGAGGGGTCGATACGGCAGCCCATGAAGGCGCGGGTCTCGTGCAAGTGAGTGGGGAAATGAACGGGCAGGAACGGGACATCCCATTGTGGGTGCGTTGAATGTGACGGCCTGCCTGCCTGCCTGCCCGTGTGCGTGTTAGGGAGGAGTTGAAGGGCTTCACTGGCAAGAACGGGAAGCCTGGGAAGCGGTTTACCTGCCTCCTCACCGATGAGAGTGTACGTCGGGATGGAGGGGAGGGAGGGGCACGCCCCATTGCCTGCCATGATCCCCCCTGTCCATGTGTGTGTGTGTGTGTCCTTAAGGGCGAGATTAGGGCGTGTTTCTTCTACGAGGCTGCCGATCGATACCACGGCATGCTGCAGAACGGACAAGTGAGGACAGACAGACAGACAGACAGGCAAACAGACAGAAAAACCGCTGGAGTGATTGCATGGATCGACCCTTCTGTGGTCTATCTGCTGGAACTGCGTGTGCAGGTGTACAGTTTCTCTCACTTCTCTGTTAAGGAGGCGAACCGGTCGGTAGGGATGGCATCCATGGCATCCAGAACAAGAAGACGATACACATCACATCACAGACACCCTTGGTCGGTCCGCAGGCAATTCAACCGGACGGGCGACTACGAAGCGATGTTCCACAGCAGCTCCTCTGTCGAGCCTGCTCAAGATGACGGGACCATACCCCTGCAGGCCACGTAAGCCAGATGTCATCTGTTCTCTCTGTCTGTGTGTGCGTATGTGTGTGTGTGCGGTTGGTTCGTGCAGGCATCCTCACCAGAAGATCGTGCAGATCAAGCAGCTGCCGACCAAGAGCAACGTCAACCTGCTCGGCATCATCACCAAAGCAGACAACATCAGCCACCGGGTGAGCCTTGACACGCACACACACACAGAGAGAGAGAAGGGAGACATCTGTTGCTGCTGTGTGTCGCCTGCACATGCTCTGACCAGGGCGGCAGCAGCCACCGCACTCTGCGTGTGGTCGACGACTCAGAAGCGGCCATCGAGGTGACCCTCTGGGGCGACAAGATCACGCAAAGCCAGAGGGTGGACTTCAACGACGGCGACATACACACTATAGACATCAAGGGTCACACACACACACAGACAGACAGACAGACGGAGGGAGGAAGTGGATCGTATCACCTGTGTGTGTGTGTGTGTGTGTGTGCGTGCGCTTAGGTGGTTCGACAGGTGAGTACAGAAACCAGAAGAACGTGCAGGTTGGCGGCATGGCCTGGATGGCCATCGACTCGGACCGGCCAGAGGCAGCAGCACTGAAGACATGGTACATACAGGTGAGCGCTTTCACCAACCATCCCATCGATCGTTGGCCAGCACACAGACAGAAAACCCGAGAGACGTTTTCTTGTGTGTGTGTGTGTGTGTGTGTCCGTATCTGCAGACAGGTGGCAATGTCAAGCGAAGACGGACCAGACAAGTGAGCAGCCTACCCTACACAGAGGCGGCCCGCTTACGTACTTGCATTTCTCTCTCACCTTCTCGTGTTTCCTTTCCTTTGTGGTGTGCAGGGCCCCCGACCCTCATCCCCTCCCTCCCTCTTCCCGCCCTCATGCGGCCGCTACACCATCACCGACGTGACCTGTGAGATGCAGGAGAAGGTCGCCACGCTCTTCGACAAGACCTCCCACGCCTCTGGCTGCCCCCACTCCACCAACCTGCGGGCCAGCAATGTGGTCAAGGTCCTCCGTGTGACCGACCCAACTCGGATCTTCCAGTACAACGCCAAGAGACGGGAGATCCAGGAGAAGCTCGCGCGGCGGCGGGAGTGCGGCAACACTGGCCAGGCGTATGTGGTGCCCTTCGACGCGACAATCCGCCCCCACGCCCTGCTCAAGAACCTCAATGGCCACTCCTCCTCCTCCTCTCGCTCAGCAGATGAGGGAATGGGTGAGTCGGAGCAGCTGAGCGAGACGGTGGATTCCTCGATCAACGAGTGCTGGCTGTTCCACGGGACCAACGCTGCGCACATGACCGACATCCTGCGGGACGGCATCGACTTCCGCGTCGGCAGGGAGGGCGGGATGTTCGGACCAGGCATGTACTTCGCCTCGGAGGCCTGCAAGAGTGAGTGAGCCAAGGACTGAGGGAGGGAGGGAGGGAAAGACAGAGAAAGAGGTGCGTGGATGCACATCAGATGTGTGTGTGGATGGATGGGTGGGTATGCAGGTCACTGCTACGCATCTGGTGGCCGCCCCTACTGCGTCATCCTCCTGTGCCGTGTGTTGCTGGGCGACATGTACTTCGCCAAACACGCTGACCCGAGCCTGCGCCGCCCCCCTGTCCGCGAGGCGCCGGCAGGGTCGCCGATGGAGCGTGACTTGTACGACAGTGTGGTGGGCAAGAAGGACAGCACCTCGTGCGATAGCTCGGGAATGTTTCGCTACAACACCATGAAGCTCAACCACAATGAAGTCAGTGAGTGAGGAGCATGAGCTGCAGGGGTGACGTCATATGGTTTGTGTGTGCAGATGATAGTCTACGATCGGTCGCAGGCTTACATCGAGTACATCATCTCCTATGAGAATAATTAGCGGGGCGGCAGGTGGCTTGTGAGGATGAGGGTGGGTGTGCTGCATGCACACAGAGTCCGCCTTGCGCACTGAGCGGCTTAGTACTGACGTCGACCTTCGCTGTCGCCTGTTGAATTGGGGGAGGGAGGGAGGGAGGGAGGACATGGCGTCCGTCTCTGTCGCTTTGCTCGCTGTTCCGTGATGTTTTCTGCATGTGACTGTGCAATGAAGTTTCCCAACATGCAGCAGAAGCGATTCTCGCTTATAGCGGTGCCTAATACATGCGCGCACAAGCAACGAGACGGACGCACACGCGTGTATATACCCTCAAACAGTGAACAATTGAACCATCAGACGTGAGACACAGTGATGCACTGATCCTTCGACACGTCTTATGCGTTTGCCTTCTTCAAGATTCCATGTGTTGACTTTGATTCGTTGATCTGTTCAATCGACGTCTCTCGTCCAATCGTGTCTCAGTTCATCCATGAAACCGAACAGCCATGGAGGCGCCCGGAAAAGAAAAGAAAAGAGTCTCCTCCGCTGCTCCACCAGACAGACAGACAGACAGTCACGCACACTCAGTCAGTCTCTCCGCCAGACAATCACGGGGATGGGGGGCTGCTGGTGAACGGTCCGCACGAGGGTCATCGTGCCCACATGAAAGCCCAACACTTGCTCGCATCTCGGCGCCGGTCGTGCTGGTGGCGGGGCCGGCGCGCGCATAACGACGGGAGACCGCTGAATATCGCCAGGGGTCGGTGGCACACTTGTGGAGCATGAGGAGAGGAGTAGCGGCTTCGGTTGATGTGTCGGTGCTGCCGCAGTGGACAGAGTGTGGTGGTCGCTGTGGGGGCTGCCGCTGCTGCCGCCGGTCCCGACCACAACAAAGGCTGGAAGGATTGGCGGGCCGCGCGGCTCCTCTCTGGCGGGCGTCTCGTCGTCCAAGAACAGCGGCGTGCTGGCCCACCGGGGGAGGTCAGTGTCGCCCGGGGAGAACGGAACTGCATTCGGCCAGAACGGATCGTCTTCACCGTCGTCATCCGCCAGGTCCGCGGGCAGACGCATTAACTCAGCTCTCGACTACACACACACACAAGTGAATGGCATACCCATTCTTCCCTGGGCGGATCCCCGGGTGTGGTGTGGCGTGCGTACCGCCATTGCGATCCGTCCGGGCATTTCACCAGCAGCAGCGCTCTTGTGGACGTCGCTGAGCATCTCGACCAGCCGGTCATGCGCCCGAAAAATCTTTGCGAACCTCAGCAGCGCCTTGGTCGGCAACCACATGTCGCGACCTGAGTCTACGACTCTCGGACCCTCCACACACAGACAGACACACACACGTACGTGACGGAACCAAGATACACACGATGCAATCAACAGCCGAGCGCAATCATACCCCGTCGCTGGCGTTGACCTCCTGTCGGTCTAGTCGGCCTTCTGGCGTTGAGGGGTCCTTGCGAAGACGGTCGAGGTCGACCAGGACGGCCTCGTACATCCCATCGCCCGTCACGCGCAAACCAATGTTACCCAGCTGCACACACACACACACAGACAGAGAGAGAGAGAGAGAGATGGCAAGGGCGTTATGTGTCTGTCTGCGGGTGTGCCCGCTCCTTACGTGGGGGTCGCCGTGCACCAGCTGAAGGTACAGCAGCTCCTCCAGGGCCGCAAACACTCCGTCGCAGATCTTGGCGATTGTCATTGTCGCCTTCAGGCGATCAGTGGGCACCTTGATTTCACGAAACATCACTGAGACCATGAGAGCACACACACACACACACACTCACACTCACAAACACACGTGAGCTAGCCAGTCTGTCTGTCTGTCTAGCTAGCCAGTCTGTCTGTCTGTCTGTCTGCCAGTCTGTCTGTCTGCCTGTCTGTCCCTTTTGCTTACTGTCGATCCATTCCATTCTGTAAGCCGTCAGCCGTTCCTCGTCGGGCCGGTGAGGTGGTAGACGTCCTCGATCTTGACAATGTTCTCCCCCGGTGTCCACTGCCGACAGAGCTCCATCCAGACGTCGTTGCCAGTCCTTTGAAAGCCGCCCACCTGCACATAGAAAACACACAACAGACAGACACACACACTGACATGGGTGCATGGTGCTGTGTTTGTGTCTGTCTGCACTTACATACCATTTTGGCGCAGTCGTGCTGTTCATGGAGCACCTTGACGGCCCACTTGCGGCCTTCCCGGTCAGTCATCGGCAGGACGACACCGAAGCCGCCCAGCCGCTGCTTCTCGCCCCGGTCGAGCGACAGCCCGTGGTCCCTCGACAAGCAATCCTGACCGAAGGAGTCAGTCAAGGAGTTCATCAAACGACAGACTGACTGACTGACAGACTGACTGACTGACAGGCATTCGCTTACCATTGCAATCGACAGCCTGTGGAGCTGCTGGGGCGTCAGCTCCCGCAGGCCATTGGCCCCCTCCGCAGAGCCTCCGTTGGGCTGCATGACACACGCACACGCCACACGAGCCAATGCACCTCATCTCATCAGTGAGTCGAGTGAGTGCACTAGTGGCTTGACGAAGGCCTCGCTCACCGGCATGGGACTGACGAGTGCTCACGCGGCAATGCTTCCCTGCTTGCTTTGGCCACAGAATTCTAAGCTCGCAGGGAATTGAAGCTCGCATTTCTCCCCCTGTCTTGCGACGGGAAAGGCGTCGCTGATGCATCCCTATGGCCACACGCCAGTATGAAAGCCTTCACAGCGCGCCGGAGTCCGCCGCCGCCGCACCAGCCGACAGACGGGCCGTCTGCACCGTCTGTGGTGGCGCGGAGGAGGACCTACGAGAGCATCAGAAGCACGCCCCGCACTCCAGAGGAACACCACCATCACGTCAAGGTGAATCCGGCAGAGTCTGCGCACTCGTCTGTCTTGTGCGTGATGACTTGGCGTTGGTGCCTCTGGCATGGCAGGCTGAGCAGCGTGCCGTGTTGGTGGCGGAGAGGCACGCAGAATGGCGGAAGCACATCTGGACGGTACGCAGGCAGACCACGCGCATAACACTGACTAAATGGACAGATGGGCACACGTCGGCAGACAGACAGACTTACCTATGCCTGGTCGTGTGATGCCTGTTGGCAGGACAAGGGCGACGCCCTGATGTATGTGTTTCTGCGGGGTTTGAGGCGGCGGGTCAAGGAGAGCCTATACGTCAAATGGGTGGTACGTTTGTTTGACATCCATGCAGTGCAATGCAGCACAGCACACGAATGTAATGCCCCATCATGTCTGCACGTTTGTTTGTTATCAGGAGTATTGGTTGTCGATGGCCAAGACGCCGGGGGTGTCTGTGCGTGAGCTGAGGGACCTGCTGCTGGACAAAATGAGGGCTGACGTGGAAGCCATACGCAGACGGGGGTGGGTACTCGTGCACTCACACACACTCCCGCGTATCGTACAGTGTCCACGGAGCCCTGCCGTGTGTGTGATGTGTGCGCAGATCGTCCTACTGCGACAGCGATGACGGTTCATCAGAGGGCGGAGGGGACGCCGATATGGACTGTGTCATCGATAGACTTAGGTGCGGATGGACAGCACACGGCGGGGTAGATGGACAGATCATATGCCCCTCCCTTTACTTGTATGTCGATGTGATTGATGCAGTGACTGTGGGAGCGTTGACGAGAGTGTCAAACGGGAAGCCTTCCAGATCATCCACCAGGTCGACAAAAAAGACAGACACTCATACACCCACACACACACACATCGATGCATCTCTCTCTCCAGCTCTTCCAATCGCTGTGCCCCGAGCCATCACCAAGACGGCACCACTCCATAGACCAGCTGCCAACCACCAGACGGGCCAACACAACACCAGCACCACCATCGGATACCGCCACACACCGATCGCAGACACAGAAGCGGGCAATGGGTCGCAGATCGTCCCACCCGTTGTGGCGGCTGGTGACCCACCGCGGCGGCCCCCCAGGCGTCCACACGACGACTCGTGAGGAGCACTGGTCGTCTGTGCATGCGTCCGTGTACAGCAAGGGCGGGGGGCCGATGTGGGTGTGCCCGAGTAGCCCGTCCAGCAGCAGCTCGTGCTCCTCTGACGGCATACTGCCGCCATTCCGCAGCTACCTCGACTGGTGTATGCTCGACTACGGTGAGTGATGGAGGAAAGACAGAGAGATGCACCATGTGCGCGAGTTGGCATCGGATGGATGGATGCAGGGACATGTTGGTTGGCTCTGTGGGGCTACCTGCTGGGCGAGAAGTACATGGAGGCGCAGCGGCACATGAGGGCGGTGGAAGCAGAGGTGGTGGTGCATGTAGTGGTCGGGTGAGCCTCTTAGATGAGAGATAGATGGACGATGGATGACCCCCACCCACCCGTCCACCTACCCACCACACACAAATGCATGCTGGCTGTATGATGTATGGTATGTACAGTAGAGCACACACACATTGCGCACACACAGGGTGAGGTGACGGTTGGTTTTAATTCAGCTCATCGATCGCTTCTTGATGGCTTGGATGGATGGATGGATCGACTGACTGACTGATTGACTGCTTGTTGCCCGTTTGTCCGTTTGTGTGTCTGTCTGTTTGTGTGTTTTTTGATGCGTCACACCGTGACATGTCATGCCACTGCCATACCTACACACGTACAGTACGGTCCGGGTGCAGAATTCAGTTGCCGGTGAGGCACGAGCCAGCCATGTCAGCCATGTTTTGACTATCGCTTGCTGCCGTTTTGCGTCCACTCACTTGCTGGTACGGGGTATGTATGTATGCAGTCTCTCTCTCGCGATCGATCGATCTCACTCTCACTCGTCTCTGTACATATATACACATACGCATACTCATACTCATGTAGATTAGTCCATCTGCCTGCCTGCCTGCCGATTGCTGGACGGCATGCCATGCCATAGAGATCCATCGATTCATCCACCCATATCGGTCCATATCTATCTGTGTTGGTGTCATTTTCTTTTTCTTTTCTTCTTTTTCTTTGCTTTGTGTGGTTTTTCCTTCCTGCCTGGCTGCGGTCGATCGCCCCTTGCACGTGTGTAAGTACCTGTGTACGCATCTGTGTTGTGAATGAATGAATGCGTGAGTGGGTGTAAACTAGTGGGTGGATGACTGCTTGGATGGATCGATAGATGCGACAAGACAGCCAGGGCACACCATAACATAACATACCGCACAGCGATAGAGACACTTAGTTGCACAGCGACAGCGACTGACTGAGAGTCAGAGTGACAGCTAAAACTGCCTTCCTGGGCAGGTGTTGTTGTAATGGGACATTATTGTTCTTTTACAGGGCGGGGCGGGGCTCTGGTGGGAGTTTGTTGTGCGCTGCACACACGCACAGAGGCAGGTGTGCATGCAGCGCTGCAGCTAGGAAATGGGGTCGTTTTACAGGTGGGCGGCACGGCACGCAGTGTCTGTATCTCTGTATGTCTGTATCTATGGGTGTGGCTGTGCTGTATGTGTGTGGATAAGTGGATGGAGGCGGGGAGTCAGTCGTGTGGACGGACGCACGGACGCACGGACGAAGGCACTTACTTGGAGCAGACAAGCATGACGGTGATGGAAAGATGGATCCACATCGATCTCTCGCACTCTGTGCTCACGTGCACACACTCACACGCAAACAAACACACAAACACACACACATGTCCTCTCGTCAAATCGTCGAATACTCAAAAGTGAGAAGTGATCAACCGCACCACCGAAAAAACCGATACGATACCCCCCGAACTTCCCGCACACGCAAAGACCCACACACTGACCTGACACCCTTACGCATCTTGATCCCAGTAGAGCTTGACCACAACGGCTGTGCAGTTGTCCATCGTGCCTGTGCAGACACCACAACACAAGAAGACAAGCCAGCATCCATACATCCATCCATCCGTACTTCATCGATGTCTCCTCAGCCCACCCTGCCGCTCACCAGCTCTCATGGCCTCTGCGACCAGCGTCCTCGCAGCCACACTGCACACATCGACCTCGGCTGCCGGCCCCCCGCCTGCCCCTCCATCCCCCTCCCCCTCTGTGTTTGAGGGTGCGTAGGGCTCCGTGTCGCCGCTCTGCCGGCTCACACTTGACGAGCTGGACGCCAACACACGCGGGGCATCACCAGCACCAGCACCAGCACCATTCGTGCTGGCAGGCACGTCTCCGTCTGCCGTGCTGTTGACGGATGTCGATGCAGCGTCCTCCCTCTCAGCCTCTTTTTCCTTTTCCTTGTGGCCGTTGTGGTCTGGCGAAGGGTGTGTGTCTTGCCTGCTGTCTTGATTGCCTTTGCCGGTGTGGTTGCTGTTGCCGTGGTTGGGTTTCTTGTCTTTCTGCTGGTCGGCGAGCCGCCTGAGTGTGGAGTGGACGCTCTGGACGGCCTCCAGGTCTGACAGGACGTCCCACACGCCGTCGCAAGCTAGGATGAGGAAACTGTCCTTGGAGGGATCCAGCTCTCTGACAGACATGCGACAAGGAGGGATATGTGTGTGTGTGTGTGTGTGTGTGTGGCGTGGTGCAAGTTGGGGTGGGTGGCTGCTGACCGTTTGTCGATTTCCGGGTCCGCGATGAGTGCGTGTCTGTTCTGGTTCTTGAGCATGAAGTCGCCCAAAGCCCTTGACACACCCAGATAGTACTCGAGGGGCGGCACACCCAACCTACACACACACACACATCCAGTTCACACACACACAGGCGTCCTCCCTCTTGCCACACTGAGTGTGTTGTGTGTGATATCACCTCGAGCATCTCTCGAACGGGTGTTGGACCACCCGGCCGCCGGCCCGCACTATCCGCCTCTCCTCGTCCGGCCTGTTGGGCTTGTGGTCTTCACTCAGCCGAATGGCCTCCACCTCCTCATCACCGCCACCAATGCTGCCACTCGGGTGACGGTGAACACGACCCAGCCTGCACACACACCATGCACACACACACACACACACGAGATGCACACACACGTCCCCTGTCCGTCATGTCATGTGTGTGGCGTGGCTCACACAGCTCTGGAGTCGCCGATGTTGGCCGTGTGGAGGATGACCCGGCCCCTCTTGCGGTGGACGAGGCAGACGATGGCAGTGGAGCCGTCCTGTGGATGGGGCGTCTGGGTTCCCTCGTAGGCCGTCTCGAGCTTCTGCACCGACTGCTCGATGGCCTTGTGCACGAAGGAGTCCTCCAACAGGGGAGGGGGGGAGGCATTCACACCTGATGTCAGCTGCCGCCTCAAGCTGAAAACACCGCAACACACACACACACACACACACACACGTGTGTACCTGAATGTTCACACGATGCTGCGTAAGCCTGTCTGCCGGTTCTCTCCCTACTCACTGGTTGTGCAGGTGCGTCTTGGCGTATTCGCTCGCCCGTTTGCCGTTGTGGCCGTCGAAGACGCCGTAGTAGGACATGCCCTCCAGAAAGTCGTCCACACACAGAGAGGCGTCCTCCATGTCAGCCCGGTGGCCCTGCAGCTCAGCGCTGCCCGACACGCACCGCAGGCCGACAGTGCGGCCGCCCAGCACCGTTGAGTGGTCATCTGATGAGCCGGCCAATCCGACTGTGCCGATTGCGCTGCTCGCACTTGCAGCGTGTGCGTTGAGAGAGTTCTCGAGGATGCGCCTGCGCTTGCTCTCCTCCTCGAAACGCCCTACAGTCACCTGACATGACGCCACATCAATGAGAAGGCCAGGCATGCATCAGAAGGACGACAAAAAGCCATCTCGCTGCGCGAAGGGCTTTGGTGCCCACCTGTCCGATTCGCTTTGTCGGCGCCGCTTCCTCGACTTCATTCAACTCATCGTCGAAGCTGAGCTTGACCTTCCTGTCGGCCTTGCGCTTCTTCACAGCACCCTCATCGCCCATGCTACTGTAATGCACTCAGGTGAATCAGCAGCTGCTGAAGGAAGAAAGATCCCAGGGAATCGGATGCGTTCAAGCAAGATCTGGGTCAGGGACGCCTGGCGGCCACCTCACAGGCTCTCTTTCCCGGCGAATCATGTGCCGCTCAGACGTGCGAGCTTGGCGATCGCCGGAAAGCAGTGCGAAGCAGATGCTTGCGTGCGACCTGGAGGTTCTCGAAGGCATGCACAATCACTTCAGCTCTGTTTTGATCTGCCGCTCATCTGTCTTGTTTCTTCCGCCTCCGTCACTGGCCAGACGGGTACACATGATGCTTCCCCAGACCGTGAGGCGTGCAGTCAGCAGCCTCCCCACCCCCCGGGCAGTCAGCCTGGAGTCCCTCACCCTCATGCAGCCACACCGGGCTGCATTCCCCATCCCCCCTCAGGCGTCATTGGCAGCATTATCATGCCGGAGGAGCATGAGTGTCGTCACGTCAGCAGCGGCAGCCGCCCACCGCCACCGCCACCGGCATCAGCCTCCCCTCCCCTCTGGCTTCCTTCCCTGGTCGTCCCTCTCCACCCACCCGCATGCGCACCTGAGACAGCTGCAGCTGCGGCACAGCTCGACCAGCTTCATCAAGCAGGTCATGGACCAGGTCAAGCGCGACATCGAGAAGGACCCCACCATCATGGAGCAGAGCAAGAAGCTCGAGGACAGCGGGCTGCCCCAGTACAAGGAGGAGATCTTCACCAAAGTCAAGGAGGCCACCGACACCGTCTCGGAGGCCGCCACGGTCGCCATCAAACGCACCAGAGATGTGCTGGGCAAGACCAAGGAGCAGGTGGACAAGGCCAGGGAGGCCGTGTCGAAGCTCACTGAGGAGAACCCCGCACTCAAGGGCGTCAAGGACGCCACCAGGGGTGCGGCGAGCGGCGTCGGTCGGGCGTTCTCTGTTGTGTCTGAGTTTGCGAGCAAGCGTCTGGAGTTTTTGAGCGAGGACAAGGACTCGGCGGCGGCTAAGGTGCGCCGGTGGAAGGAGGAGAAGGAGGAGAAGGCCAGGCAGGAGGAAGCCGTCAGGTGGGTGACGTGACCAGCGCAGCTATCCACGCAAATACGTCGATCCATTGGTCTGTCTGTCTGTCTGTCACAGGAAAGCAAAGGAAGACGGTGCCGAGGAGGAGGAGGCCACCACACACAAGGCGACTGCAACAGCAACAGCAGCCGCCCCCGAAGCCTCAGCTGAGGCGGCCGGATCATACTCCAGGGCGTCAGAGGCCGCTGGTGGTGCGGCCGAGCGGATGACGTCGGCGGAGGAGGCGGCGGCCGATGACGCGCTGGTCGTGTCGATGAAGCATGACTCCACTTGGGACAAATTCGGCACACGGCTGAGGGACATGCCATTCCTGCGCAACTTTTTTGGTTCGCATACAGAAGGGCGTGGGATCACGCACCCGAGTGTTGGCAGACATGGATGTCCTTCATAATGTTTTGCGTGTGTGTGCATGTGTGTGTGTGCAGAGAATCCTTATTTCGGGAAGCTGTTTGGCGAGACGGAGATCGGCAAGTGCCTCCGAGAAATGAAGAGGATCGACCCGGCTTTCAGGTATGTACCGGCACACACGGCACACCCAGCATCCACACACACACACACATGACATGTGGGTGCCTCTGTGTGTCAGGTTGGCGGAGTTCCACGACACCATTGAGCATGTGGTGGCCCCGAAGCTCGTGCAGGCCTTCCTGGAGGGAGATGACGACCTTATGAAGCTGGTAGGCATCCGCACCAGCACACGCACAAGAGAAACGGGCGGACGGCTCATGCACCGCGTCCGTCTGTGTCTGTCTCCATGTGTCTGCTATGCGTGATACTGATCAGCAATGCGGCGACGCTGCTTACGCGACGGTGCACGGTGTGTTCCAGGAGCGCGTCAAGCAGAAGGTCGACCTCGACACGTCCATCCTACTGCCACCAAGAGCTGTCGAGCTCAAAGGTGCACTCATTCCCCTTTTCCCCCAAGGCCTTTCAATGCATGCACCATCCATCGCCCCCATCCGCGTGTGTGTGCGTCAGGTGCCCGCTCGAAGGGCGAGGAGGAGGCCCCGTGTTTCGTGTGGACGTTCAAGACTCAGCAGATCAACTGCCTGCGCGACAAGAAGGGCAACGTGGTGGAGGGCGCCATCGACGACATCCGGGAGGTCTTCTACGCCATAGCGGTCGTCAAGCACCCCGAGCCGGACCGGCAGGGGCTGGAGTTCCCTTGGCAGGTCAGAGAGAGAAAGAGAGAGAGAGAGAGAGCGAGGGGGTGGCCAGATGTATGCGGTAACGCTGAACTGTGTGCTGTGCGTCGGTGTGCCAGGTTGAGGAGCTCGCCATTGTGGGCAGCAACTCTGTGTGGTGAAGCCGAGCGAAGAGAGCAGCGTGGCGGGTGTGTCCTTCGAGCTCTTCGTCTTTCGAGCCAGACAGACTGTGTCTTCGACCAACGGGAGTCTGCCCTTCCGGCTATTCATCCGACACCGACAACGCAGCCCTTTGGTGGCTTGTGCTGATGCGAGTCACCGAATCGCTGCGCAGTGGGGGCCGTATGTCTTGCCGGAGGAGCCAACACCCACCCAGCGATGCATCTGTCCAGTCGATTTCCTTATTCATTGATTGAGTGTCCCTCTCTCGTCGTCTTTTGAGTAGCCAATCAGCCCGGACGCGAAGGCGCATCTTGGATCCCTCCGAAGATGTGCCTTCGCGTTTGACCTGGTGTGGCGTTCGGGGATGGCTCGGAGGGACTTCTCGAGCGAGCTTCTCCGTTTTTCCCTTTCGTGGTGCGTGTCTTGCTTGCTTCTGCCTGCCTGCCTGCCAAAGGCATGTCTTTCCTCCTCACCTCTTCCTCTGTGCCAATCGATGCCATGCTGGTGTTGCGTATTACGCGTTGTGTGTCGGGGCGGCGCCATTATCGCGACTCGCCTTTGCGTGTTTGTGGGTTTTGGATGGATGAATGTGACCGACACACACAGAGAGTCTTCCGCGCATCCTGTAGATACCATATACCTTCCGCGTCCATCGATTGCTCTTTGACTTTCTCTCTCTGCGTCTCGACTGTACATGTGTTGATTCATTCGATTGGACCCTCAGTGCTACCAATGGTTCCTTCGTGCCTGTCATGTTCATTCATGGTTCACGTCAAGTGTCTTCGGGGATTTTACATCCACGCAATGATATCCACCCATCCACCCACCTTGCTATCAATCGGTGGATTCGCTACGCCAAAATGTCCTCACTCAAATGCACACACAGGCGTGGCGCACACCGGTCGCGCAATACATACACACATACATACCGATGGAGCCTGTCGCTCTGCTTGCGCCTGTCGCTCTGCTTGCTCGTGTGGCGTCCGCCCACAGGCCAACTGACTCTCCCAAATCAGCCTGTCACGAGACACACATGAAGATGATCGATAAACGCACCCATTACCTGTAGACGTGCCAACGATTTCATACATACACACGTTTCCTTCCTGCTGCAGCCAGAATTCTCTTTCTCCCTCCCCCCTCCCTCCCTGCCCTGTCTGTCTGTCTGTCTGTCTGTCCATCTGTCTACTGTCAGGCGATCATCCCTTCATGTCCATATCCAGTGGCTGCATGGCCTCCCGGGCAACAACACACTGAATGAAAGCACCCACACAGTAACACACAAGACAAACAAACAAATCAACAACCAGGTGAGCGGGCGCCTCATTCTTCCCTCTTTCTCTCATCATCAATCGTCCCATCCCCTCTCACTCACCTGATCGGCGGGCGACGACGGGTCGCCTCTTCGCTGCATGTGGTGGGACGATCCTCTTTCCCGTATGCGGCCATTCAGCCCACCACCCAGTTCACCAGCACAGCCGTCCTCAGTCTTCTCGGCCGTCTGCTCCTGCTGCTCATTTGTGTAGTCCCGAGCCGATGCAGCAGCAGCTGCTGCTGCTGGTGGCAGCGTCGCAGCGGGGCTGGTGGGCGAAGCGGTGAGGTGCTGGGGCAGCTGCAGGGGCGGGCGGTCATTGAGCGTCTTGTTCCTGACCTCCACGGCCTTCAGCAGGGCCAGCCGGACGCCTCTCCGGGTGGGCGAGATGGGTATGGGGAAAGGGGGGAAAGGGCCCGCGGCGAAGTGGCCGTCGCACAGAGCGACCATGACGTCGGGGCCGTCTGTGCTGTTGGATGCCGCCACGAGGGCGAGCTGGTCGCTGGCGTAGTTCATCATCTCCTCAATGCTCAGCGCGGCATCATCACCCTCGTTGTCTTCCTCTTCCGCATCCTCATCCCCATCCTCAGGTTCGCCGCCGCTGCCCTCAATGGCGACCTCGTAGCCACCCTGACCATCTTCGTGGCGATCCTCGTCGGTGTCAGGACAATGCCGAGACCGGAGCGACCTGAGAGGGCGATTACCGATCGTCTTGGCCAGCCGATTGCGACTCTCGACAGCCTTCTCGAGGGCCTTGTCGATGGCCTCTCGTGTGCGGGAGTGTAGGTTGATGGTGTGGGAGGCACGCTGCCCGCCGCTTTGGCGGAACCGGACCACCCACGCGAATTTGTACCAGATGATGTTGATTCTATCGCTTTCATTGAGGCGACGCAACTCGGCCAGGCGCTGCTTGGCGTAGCGGTCGAGGGCGTCCCTGTCCAACGCAGTAGCAGCAGCAGCAGCAACAGCAGACGAACCTGAACACCAGCACACAAAACCACCACACGTTTATGAGTGGACAGGTGGGTGGGTGATCCGTTCATATCTGTGTTGCAGGGTCACCTACCTGCAGGGGTCTCTCTCCCTCTTGCCCTCTTCTGCGGCTTGCGGTCGTACTCTTCTGCATTGAACCGACAAGTGCGCGTACATGCATCGATATGTCTGTCCCGTGCACCCCGCCCTCCCTCCCTCCCTCCCTCCCTCCTGCCTGCCTCTGTGTGGCTCACCGTCTGACTCGTCTTGTCCGTCGTCTTCCTCTTGCTCGTCCTCAGGCGCCCGGACACTGCCCTCCATCTCATCGTCACCCTCGCCATGGGCCTCCCCCGATCCCTCAGCGACGCCCTGGCCATGGCTTGACTGCAGCGACCGGATAGGGGGCCGGCCCAGGTCGCTGGCCAGCTCGTTGCGGGTCTGCACCGCCTCCGCGAGGGCCTTGTCGACGGCCTCTTGTGTGAGGGTCAGTGGGGGGATGGTCAGCCACATCCGTCCTCCGTTGTGGCGGAACTGTATCGACCACGCGCAGTTGCGCCACCTGAGATTGACGTTCTCGGTGCCTTTGAGGCGACGCAGCTCTGTCAGCCGGTGCTTGCAGTAGGCGTCGAGGGCGTCCCTGTCCACCGAGGCACCAACAAACCGACCTGAACACCATCCATCCATCCATCCGTGAAGGCCTCTGTCCGTTTGTGTGGCTCACTGTCTGGTTCGTCGTCTTCCTCTTCCTCTTCCTCTTCTTGCTCATCCTCAGGCGCGCAGCTGCTGCCCTCCATCTCAACATCTTCACCCTCGCCGTCTTCCTCGCCCCCTCTCTGCCGACATCGCGAAGGCAGCGACCGGATGGGTGGGCCCATGGTCTCGAGCAATTTGTTGCGCTTGTCGACGGCCTCCTCGAGGGCCTCGTCGCTGGCTTCTCGGGTGCGGGATTGGGGGCAACCGGCGGCGTAGTGCGCTTTGCCGTCGTGGTGGACGCAGACTTGCCTGCCATCGGGTTGCCAGTTGATGTAGGTGCTCGTGTGGCGGTTGAGGCGACGCAGCTCGCTCGACCGTTCCTCGGCGTAGCGGTCGAGAGGGCCCTCCCCCCTGTCCACACCAAGACGAGACGGACCTAGAGACCAGAAGAGGCGCAGAAGCAGCACAACGCATACTCATACATTCACTCATACATGCACTCGTGTGTGTGTGTGCGTGTGTGTGTACCTGCAGATGCCCCTCTCCGTTTTCGCCTTTTCCGCGCTTTGTGGTCGTGTTCGTCTTTCTGCTCTTCATCCTCGTCCTTCTCAGACGGCCCTTCGCTGCCATGCTGGGTCATGTCCATCTCATCGCCATCATTGCCCTCTCCCTCTCCATCGGATGAGGCAATGATGGGGGGAAAGCGGACAGGGGGAAGGCCGATCCTCTTGGCCAGCCGGTTGCGCTTGTCGACAGCCTCCTGCAGGGCCGCGTCGACGGCCTCTCGGGTGCGAGCTGGCGCCTTGATTGTGTAGGACTTTGTCTGGTTGTCAAGGCGGATCCGAATGAACCAGCCGTTGCGGTGCCACATGATGTGGGTGCCCCTGCCCCCGTTGAGGCGGCGCAGCTCGGCCTGCCGCTTCACGCCGTAGGTCTCGAAGGCGTCCTTGTCCAGCCCAGTAGCACCACCAAACGAGCCTGGGGCCGGTCAGCACACACACGCACTCATGTGGTGATCCATCCATCGTGTCTGTGACGTGTGTATGTGCTGGGTGCTCACCTGCAGCAGCCTGGGCTGCTCTCGCCCTTTTCCGCGCCTTGCGGTGGCTTTCCTCGTCCTCTTCCCCCTGTTCGTCCTCAGAGTCCTCGGCCATCTCCATCTCATTGTCAGAACAATGCCGAGACTGCAGCGAGCAGAGGAGGGGAAGGCCAGCCTTCTTGGCCAGCCGGTTGCGAGTCTCGATCGCCTCCTCGAGGGCCTTGTCGACGGCCTCTCGGGTGCGGCTTGACGGGCTGATGGTGTCGTAGGTAGCTGCTGCTGGTCGGCTGCCGACTCGAATCATCCACGTCGACTTGTTCCAGACGATGTAGATGCCCTTGGATTCGTTGAGGCGGCGCAGCTCTGCCAGCCGCCTCTTGGCGTAGCGGTCAAGGGTGTTCTTGTCCAGCGCAGTGGCACCACTAAACAAACCAAGGTAGTGAGAATTGCTGTCTCTCTGTGGCCCATGGCATAAGGATGCTGCTGCTGCTGCTGCTGCCGCTGCCGCTGCCGCTGGTGGTAGTGGTGGTGGTAGTGGTGGTGCTGCTGGGAGGTAGGTACCCTCCGGTGTGTGTGCTGTGTGTGCTTGGTCGTGGCGCTGCTGTTTCTGCTGCTGCTGCCTGCCGGTTCTGTCACCGTCGCGGGCGCCACCCTCAGTCTTGACTAGGACACCCGGCTGACAAGTACCCTCAGCGTGCTCCTCTGCCGCATCGCCGCCCTCTCCCTCCCCCTGGCCACCCTTGTCGCTGGTCTCGTCTGAGTCGTCGATTGCATTCTCCCACCAGGCCTGCCAGTCCTCAATGGGTTTGCCGGCCCTTCTCTCGGCCACCTTCCGAGTCGGAGAGGGGTCGGTGGCTGGGGGCTGGTGGGTCACGTCAGGCATTGCTGCAGCCTCGGCTGCAGACCCACTGGCAGGGGGTGTGGGGGCCGGGAGCCCGCTGCGCGTGGTGGGACACAATCGACAATGTGATGCATGTGGGGGCCGGCAAGTGTTGTGTGCGGCTGACTTACCTTTTAAGTGACGTGACGAAGATGCGACCTCGCCCTGACCACCACCACAGCTCCTCGCCCGTTGCGCCCCTTCGGTCTCGACACGCTCACCATCACCAGGAGGACCGCCGGAAGAGGCCATGCCGCGATGGTGGCCAGGTGGGCAGAGGGCGGGGGATGGCTGGGTGGAGGTTTGGTCTGATGACTGTCCTGAAATACCAGCCGTGTGGGGTGGGGCGGTGACATGCTGCTGGCGGGATGTCTGTGGTTGGACAGTGGACGACATAGTGAAGTCTGGGGTGCCTTGCAGGGCTGTCCCATCGGCCTGAGGCTCCTGCCTGAGGTATACAGCACCCGCTGTCGAGCGGCACACAGCAGAGAGAAAGAGAGCTATGTCCAAAATGTATCTACATGCATGGGCATGTGGGCATCTATCTACGCACGGCATCTTTCGCACGCCTTGTACCTGCAGATGCAGGTGGCTCTCACGAGCTGTCCTCACCGCTCATGGATCCACAGATCTCTGCCGTCCGGGCCTCAAGCCTCGACGAGCCCGACTGACGTCAGCAGTGGAGAGGCCGACGAGGGAGAAAGATCAGCGCAGTGGTCATGCGTGGGGAAATTCACCAAGCTCGCAGAAAAACCCTAAACCCTGTAAACCGAGGGCTGAATCGCAATTTGTGCAGCCCACAGAGGAAGTAGATTACAATGGCGGACGAGCGGAGCAAGACGCTCGTCATCGTCACGGGTGCGTCCCGCGGCCTCGGCAAAGCCATTGTCGTGGAAATGGCCAAGGCGCTGAGCAACTCTGCGGCGCACAAGAGGACCCACTTTCTGCTCATCGGACGGGTGAGTCAGCCAACAACAGACAGATCGGGCACCGGCTGAATGCAGCCACAAGGAATGTGCATCATCTCTGTGTGTGTGTGTGTGTTTGTGTGTGTGGTTTGTCCGTGTCTGCAGGACACAGATGGGATGGAGCAGAAAGGCAGGAGGCGCAGGACGGCATTGCAGAAGACGCACAACTGACGGTGGCCATCCACAGGTAACAGACAGACAGATAGATAGACACACCAGGCCCCCTACTCACTCTCTTTCTCTCTCTCTGTGTGTGTGTGCAGGTGTGACTTGGCTGGCCCGTTGGAGGACGTCGGCAGTGCTTTCGACGCGATTCTCTCATCTGAATGGACAGGCTCAGGCCCCTTCCACCAAGTGTAAGGCATGCAGACTGACTCTCCCTCTAACCAACCGCACCGAAGAAACCTCACTGTCCACTGTTGTCCTCTCGCCATGCAGTTACTTCATCCACAACTCGGCCAACACCGGCCCTCTCGACATCATCCGTGACATCTCTCCCGCCGAGATCCGCACCAACCTGCTCTTCAACATCGGCTCGCCCTTCCTCCTCACCGGCAGGCTGCTGCGGTTCGTCGCACCAAATGACGGCGCCGCCCCGCCACGCGCCAAGAGGCTGCGGATCGTCAACATCAGCTCTCTGGGAGCCAAGGTGGCCTTTCCTGCGTCGGGTCTGTACTGCATGGGCAAGGCGGCGAGGGACATGCTGATGCTGCAGGTAGCCGCTGAGGAGAAGGGCACCACGGAATACGATATCAAGACACTCAGCTATGCGCCAGGTGGGCGCGTGAATGCTTGTGCAGATGGGGGACAGACAGATGTACACCATTGTGTGGTGTGTGTGGTGTGATTGGTGTGTGCAGGTCCGATGCGGACGGCGATGACTGAGCCTATGTTTGAGGGCAGGTGTGCTTCAGAGTCGGTCATTCAGTCCTTCAGGGACATGGAGAAGAACAATACGCTCGTCGACCCATGTAGGTGCGCCCCCCTCCCCTAACACACACCCAATCTCACTCGGTGTGTGTGTGTGTAGATGAGACTTCCCGCAAGATGGTGAGGCTGCTGCTGGACGACAAGTACGAGTCGGGCGCCCACATCGACGTCTTCGACATCGAAGACGAGCCGTCTAATGAAGCTTTTGCACTGCAGGCTGAGGTGATGGCGGTGAGGGAGGAGAATCGGAGGCTCCGGACCGTCAACCCCAAGGTCGAGGTGGACCGCCGCGCCGTTCTGCCGTCTGCGGATTCTCCACCTGACGGTCGTCGTGGAGTGGTACACAGCCGATCGCTTGCTAGCCCCACAGCTGCCTCATTAGCCGGCTTGCTCGTCCGCGGTGTGTCACAGGAGGCTGCTGCTGCTCTGCCTCACCCCCATGGACAGCCACAGGCCCCACAGCATCAGCAGCCACAGCCACAGCCACAGTGAGAGAGAGAGAGAGAGAGAGAGAGGCGCGACTTTTTCCGGTTTTCAATGGCCCCTTCCATATTTGCGTGCGCTTTCGGATGGACGAGAGTTTGATTCTCCAGAAGCTCATTTGCCTGCTGTCTAGGTTTCTTGCGGCTTGTGCTGAGGCAAGTCGTTTGGTTCCTGTGCAGTGGGGTGGTCGAGTGGCTGCTGGAGGAGGGAACTCTCCATCCGTCATCGAATGTATGTAGCATGGCCTCGACGTCTGTCTGTTTGTTGACGTGCATGGGTGTGCATTCCCCGCGGCTCACGGCTTGCCTGTCAATCTCGTATTCGCAGATGCGACATGCGAAGGACGATAGGCTTGCTGTGATAAACGTCAGAGCACCCCACGGACAGAGAGCGATGACGACAGGCAGTCTGTTTTGCGTGGAACGGCCTGCAAAGCTTTTCCGGCCCCTCCTCACTGGCAGATGAGTGCATACGCATGACAGCTTGCCAGACGCTACGACACATGCATTCCCTTGCCAAAATGGATGAATACGACCGCCATCGAGCTCGCTTAGCCATCATCCCGAAATGAGGCAATGAGCTTGCATTTTCCGAAAAATGACAGCGCGGCGTTGGCGGATGTGGTTGTGGTGTGCCAGCTGCTGTCGAGATGCTGTCGATCAGTTCACCTGCCGCCGCCGTATCTGTGAGTGCCGCTGATCTGGCCCATTGAGGTGCGAGAGGACCGGGGAGGCGTCAAAGGTAACAATACACGTTGTTTCTGTGTGCTTGTGTCAGGTTCTGTAACTCAGTCACAGATCATCGCTTTGAGATCTGGCCTCACGGCAAATGCGCTGACTGACAGGGCCGGTGAGGCCAAACGCCAGATCAATCTCTTTGATGCTCTGACACACGTGCTGTCTGTGGTGCGGTATGTCTGCAGAAACACTCATTGCCTCGTCGAGCCTGCCTGCTGTGACGGCATGTGGTGACTGACTTGTGTTGATTGATGGCGTCTTCGGTGCCCATCGACACGTGGCGTGCACGTGTGGTGGCGTGCCTGCAGCTGCCTGATGCGGCCGCTCTCCGCAACACATCCAACGCACTCGGCACCTCTGTTGTCACCGCCACTCTGCTGGTGGAGCGCATCGACGCGTCCCTCGCCCGCCACTCACTCACCGGCCTGATCGACATCAACCGCACGGCCCCCCTCTCATTCACCTATGTGCTGCGGGTGGCCTATGTGCTGGAGCAGGGCAGCAGCCAGGAGTGGCGTTTGATCGGTGTGGTCTTCATCCGCCTCGCCGCCATCTATCGGCTGACGCCGGCCAGTGGGCTGCCCCTGGTGCTGCCGGTGCAGTGGCTGGTGACCAACCTCCCCAGCAAGACGGCCTTCCACCAGCTGCCCTTGGCCATGGCCATCTACCGCCTATTCGGCCACATGCTCACCCACCAGGGACATGGGAGCCTGGCGCTGCGGCAACTCATCAACCAACTGATCAACCCTCGCTATCGGATCGACAATGTGCCGTTTCGGGTGGTGCAGTTGAGTGACCTGCCGGCCGCCCACCCTTACACAGACGACTACAAGCGGACTGATCCCGTCATCCGACAGGACCTCCTTCTCCACTCCTCCTTCTCGTCATACCTGCTGCACGGGCTGCTCCGGTGGTGGAGTGTGTGGGTGGGCGTCAGGCAGGTGTTGACTGCACCTATCGTCGACGGTGACCCCCGCTATCGCCGTCTGCGGATGGAGCCCATCAGCGAGCAGCAGGGCATCGCTGTCGACCACCTCGTCGACAACGACAACCTGAATAATGCCAACCCCATCCACCGTCGTTATGTGATCGTGAGTGGCTTCGGGCCCAACGAGACCGTCGCTGCCCATCTGAGGGTGGAGACCAGCCGCATTTATCTGTGCACAACCGAGCGGTCTATTGGCGATCGGTCTCAGTCGCTCGACGTCCGCTTCCCCACATCGATGCCCCGCTGGCGTGCCGTGCTGCGGCATTTAAACCTCGAGAACGACGTCATCAACCGAGGGACGGTGATGGAGTGAGGACAGATGTGTGTGTGTGTGTGTGTGTGGTGAGATGGGGCCGAATGGGATGGGTTGTGAAGTGGCTGATTGCATTCATGAAATGAAATGGATGCCATCACCTCTTCACACACAGCTGGACGGCGTTTGTGCATTTGTCTTGGACCTCCACGCGCTGAGTGTGAAGTGTTTCCATCTCTCAGTGTTTCAATCCGCTATCTCAGTGGTTCCCTCCCCTAACACACACCCAATCTCACTCTGTGTGTGCGTGTGTGTGTGTGTGTGCAGATGTGACTTCCCGCAAGATGGTGAGGCTGCTGCTGGAGGACAAGTACGAGCCCGGCGCCCACATCGATGTCTTCGACAAGGAGAGGCCGTCCAACGAAGCTCCTGCTGGTGGTCGTCGCGTTAGGATTGGCGAACGGCAGCTGGGCGCCATAGCTGCCTTGTTTGCCAAATTGGCCGACGACGGTGCGTCGGCGGAGGAAATCGCTGCTGCGGAGGAGGAACCTGATGCTGCTGCTGCTCTGCCTCACCCCCATGGCCAGTCACCGCCGCAGTGACACATGGATAGATGGATGGATGGACCTGATGTATTTGTGTATACAACAGAGGGCTGGCTGGGTGGGTCATGACGACAAGACAAATACACAAACGCTTCAGACAGATAGACAGACAGACAGACACGCAGAGAGAAACAGACGAGACTTTTTGGTTTTCAATGTATTGATAGTGTGAGGACGTGAGCGGTGCATTGGACAGTGCTCCGATCTCTGCCTTGCGGGCGAATGAATGTGGCCACTGGATTTCTATCCATCCATCCATCCATCCGTTCACATCAATCGCACCCATCACTCACACCTGTCCACACGCACGGCTATGGATCGGTGAGTGCATGGCCGTCAGTGGACGACATCCATCCACCCACTTCTGTCTGTCTGCACAAGGAAGGAGAGAAGATGCCAAACTACGAGCCATCCATCCATCCACAACGAGGGAGAAAGATCAACGCATTTCGGATAATATTTCTGAGAGATGGACAGTGTCGGTTCATTTCTGACCCTTCCATCCCTCTGTATCGACCAGCCAGTCACACTCTGTCGTGTCTTCCTCGGCACTCATCAGCCACATCGTCGCCACGCCAACACACACTCCACTGCAGTGGAGTTGGCGTGGCGACGATCTGGCTGATGAGCCCTGAGTCGGACCGGGCATGGTGGTACACACGACACACGAGGCACTCTGCATCCAGCAATGGATTGTCTGCATTA